TATTCTCCTGTGTTGGAGTAGGTTTATAAATGATTTATGTTACAAATCTAATAAAACGGCACACACTGCATTCCCTGAAGCAACCCAAACTCACAGTATATGCAGAGATGGAGTTAACCAAGGGCATTTACGGTCAACGGAGCTGCTCTGAGATGTACGTGACCTACATGCATGTAAATAATTAAAGCACATACCGGTATACTAAACCAGCAGGGCATATATTTAATAAATTGCTTTGGAGTCTTTGTGAATTCTCAATAGCATTATCTATGCTGTATTATGATATTTTAAATGGTTTTAATATTTCGTGCAGCCTTAGAAATGATCCAATAATGTGGTTCATGGTTTCTCATTTGTAAAATGCACCACTTCTAGTATTTTTCCAGTTACTTGACAAGGGTAATTTGCAAGCAAGGATATTTTTTTTTAAATCAAGTACATTCCAAATTTAATCAAGGAATTGTGACAGCCCAAGTCAAGATGATAGAGAAAACTAAAAAATATGTAACAATCCCAGCTTACCGCTTCATTTGGAGGGGGAAATTCAATCTTCCGGTCAATGCGGCCTGGTCGAAGAAGTGCAGAGTCTAGAATATCAATACGGTTTGTTGCCATGATAACCTGAGGGAAACAAGAAAACATTTAGTAAATTCATACATTTCTTTAGAAAAATGATACAAACACAGCAGGAGGCGCAAGTTTGGCCATAGCACCCCTGGTGGTGATGATTGGAAAGTTCAATGAGTATGTGGTCTGTAACGGTCACTTTGTGCATTTATGGAAATCTGAGGTAAAATGAGAGTATCAGTTATAGATTTGACAGGCAAGGAGAAAAGATAACCGCTCTACCGACTTTTGTGCTCTGTGGGTGGTTGCCCTTCATCCTTAATAAGCAAACTTCAGCTGGTCCAAAACGCAGCAGCTCGAGTTCTTACCAGAACCAGGAAGTATGACCATATTAGCTCGGTTCTGTCCACCCTGCATTGGCTGCCTATTAAACATCGTATAAATTTTAAAATATTTCTGATTACTTATAAAACACTAAATGGTTTAGCTCCACTGTACTTTAGCGAGCTCTTAACGCATTATAGTCCTTCACGTCTATTGCGATCGCAAAACTCCGGCCAGTTGATAATACCTAGAATATCAAAAATCGACGGCTGGCGGGATATCCTTTTCCTATTTAGCACCAAAACTCTGGAACAATCTTCCCAACATTGTCCGGGAAGCAGACACACTCTGTCAGTTCAAATCTAGACTTAAAACACATCTCTTTGGCCTAGCATACGGCGCTTTTCCACTGCATAGTACGGTACGGTTCGGTTCGGTACGGCTCACTTTGGCGCTTTTCCACTGCATGGTACGGTACAGTACGGTTCGCTTCGGGTCGCTTTAAATGGTACCTGGTCTGTTGAGGTTCCAAGCGTATCGTACCGGTACTAAAATATGACGTGAAACACTGCAGATCACTGATTGGTCAGACAGAATCGTCACTACCAGCGTCATTGGATTTGCGACACGAGACACTTTTTTAGCAGTAGTTTGTTTTGCTGCCATCAGCCTCATTATAAACGCATTTTTCCGTCTAGCAGTTAAAAACAACCACATACCGAGAATCAGGAACACCATCCCCTCGATAGTCTCCATTGTTCCTGTGTTGTGGGTTTGAAAATGTGGCGCTTTTAAGATGATGTCATGGCAGTAGAGGCGCGCGCAAATAACGATCAGTCCCACACACTTTGAAGGGGTACTAGTGCAGTGGAAAAGCAACAGAGCTAAGCGAACCGAACCGATCCGTACCGACTCAAAACGTACCACGCAGTGGAAACGCGAAGCGAGCCGAACTGTTCCGCGCAGAGTCGAACCGTACCGTACTATGCAGTGGAAAAGCGCCAATAGATAAAACACACTATAGACTTCCTAAATTCAAAATTAGGCTGCATAGTTTAGATCAGCCGGAATCAGGAACACGTCCCGTAAATCCTGATGTACTTGGTACATCAAAAGAAGGATGGCGTCTACGCTTAAAGTAGTTTCTCTGTTTATCCCGAGGGACCCTTTATGGTGGACCTGCGCATGGACCCATCCCGACTCATCCTCATCGACATGGCAGCCATCGGCACTGATCCTCAACATCTCGTCTCCAAACCGGCATGGTTACTTCGACTTACACACAGATGGATATGGACAATTTTCTTAATGTTTCCATCCAATTTGTTTTGTTATCACTGTTCCTTCATTGGCCAGAGGAGAGCCTGGGTTCTCCCAAGGTTTTTTCTCCATCCAATCTGATGGAGTTTTGATTCCTTGCCACTGTTGCCTTGGCTTTTGGCTTGCTTAGAGGTGGACATTTAATATTCAACAATTTAATTGATCTGTGTTGTATTATTTTCATGTTATTTTTCACTGTATACACGATTTTCATGTTATCATGGGGAACACATGGTCATTAAGTCATTGTATTAAACATTCTGAGAGGATTCTGCTGATGTATGGTAAGTTTTGGAAAATAACTGATAATAATAGCATTTAAATTTGTTTGATATATCAGCTTTTAAAAACCAGAGACCTTTCGTGTAACGATCAGCACTTAGTTTACAGATGTTTGCTTCTCACCTTGATGTTCTTGGTGGCCTCGAATCCGTCCAGCTGGTTGAGGAGCTCCAGCATTGTTCTCTGCACCTCACTGTCTCCTCCTGATCCGCCCTCCAGCCGAGAAGAGCCGATGGAGTCGATCTCATCCATGAAGATGATGGAGGGTGCATGCTCCCTGGCCATGACGAACAGCTCGCGCACCATACGCGCTCCTGACAACAGAGAATATATGGAGTCCAATTAGGGCAATCAATCCAGCTTGAGAAATTGGACTTGTATTTTATTTATTTTTATTTTCCTATTACAGAGCTATTAGATGGCTTTAGAAAACTTGGATTAGAGCAGATTTGTCATTTAAACTGTTTTGATTATAGGTTAATGGTGTGTGTTAGTTATTTTTGACAACCCCTGGTCAATATATGCTTTTATTGTAAGGAAAATAGCAGCAAGAACATTCTTCTAACAGAAGAAAGTCATACAGTGATCAAGTCGCATTTGCAATTTAAATTTGATTTTTTTTTTTTTTTTAAATTAAGAAATTTCAAACATAAAAAATATTAAATATCTTAAATGATGTAACAAACAACTTTAAAATCATGATAGTTTTTTAAACAAAAAAAAAAAGCCTTATGATTTAAATGGCACCTATTATGCCCCTTCTCAGAAGATGTAAAATAAGTCTCTGATGTCCCCAGGGTATTTATGTGAAGTTTTAGCTCAAAATACCCAACAGATATTTTTTTAAAGCATGTTTAAATTGTCACTTGGGGCTCAGAAAAACACACTGTTTTAGTGTGTATCCCTTTAAAGGGTTAGTGTAAAATGAAAATTCTGTCAGTATTTACTCACCCTCATGTTGTTCCAACCCCGTAAGACCTTCGTTCATCTTCGGAACACAAATTAAGATATTTAAGATATTAAAATCGCTCCTGCATACAGTCCATAGGCTTCTTGAGGGACTGGCTCTTGCTGTCCTCGAAAAGTCATTAAAGACATCGTTAAAATAGTCCAAGTGACTACAGGGGCTCAATCTTAAGTTTATCAAACGACGAGAACACTTTTGTGCGCAAAAAAACAACAAAAATAACTACTTTATTTCAACTATTCGTTTATTTCTCCCTCTGCGCGAGTCAGGTTACTAGTTTAATAGCGTAAGCTTCTGTTATTGTACGTCACACGCATCACACACACATGACCAGCGTCGGCCAATAGTGAGCCTACGTGTGACGTAGCTCTACGCAATCACACTACGTTAACTGACTACAGGCCTATGGAGAAGGAAGTGAATAGTTGAAATAAAGTCGTTATTTTTGTTGTTTTTTTGCGCACAAAAGTGTTCTCGTCGTTTGATAAACTTAAGATTGAGCCCCTGTAGTCACTTGGACTATTTTAACAATGTCTTTAATGACTTTTCGGGGACAGCAAGAGCCAGTCCCTTAAGAAGCCTATGGACTGTATGCAGGAGCGATCTTAATATCTTAAATATCTTAATATGTGTTCCGAAGATGAACGAACGGGGTTGGAACAACATGAGGGTGAGTAAATACTGACAGAATTTTCATTTTTGGGTGAACTAACCCTTTAAATGCAAATGAGCTGTTGCTGCCGGCAAAGAGGGCGGAGTCTCACAAGCTAATGCTCAGTGGCAGGACAATCTCATCAAGGAATGATCAAATAAAAACAGAAACCCTCAGTAGGGGTGCTCATTTCGACCCAAAGTCAGACAATTATGCCACCAGAGTCAGAGAATATATGCTGTATGGAAATAGAACAGGCATAGTTTAGTTTAATTACGGTTATAACTTATTTTTCACCTTGCTTTTATCCACTATTAGTACAACAATGTTGTAGCGGACCACATCCCAATGATGGCCAAAAATATACTGATGGTGCTTAATAAACTGGTGAACTTTATATCCTTAAAACAATCCGATGAGCTGTCATAAAGTGCGCGCTCTCACTTTCACTTCTGCTGTGATCAGTAATGTTAGGCCTATCGCTTTGGAGACTGTACGCTGGATCACGAACAGATCCATCCTCGAGTAACAACCAGAGTAAATGAACCATGTTCATTCTTACATCTAACAACAGAACACCTCAATCGCTTTGGAGACATTCTTGTCTAGCGTTACAGCTGCTCCGGTGTCGAAACAATGGTTTAACGACTGTGTACAGGGCGGGTCTCTGCATAAACTGCAGTGTCAGTCAACAGTTGTGGGCGGGGCTTGTGCAAAAGTTCGTCACATTGCCCCGAATCTGAGAACGGGTTGTTCTAAAACAGTGCTTATGATTTATGGGGATTTAAAAAAAGAAAAGAAGCAATGGGTGGATTATAACCTTTATAGGGGGGTTGTGTACACACACTGAGCCTGGGTTCTCCCAAGGTTTTTTCTCTATCCAATCTGATGGAGTTTTGGTTCCTTGCCACTGTCGCCTTGCTTTTGGCTTGCTTAGTCGGGGTTATTTAGTATTTAATATTTAACAATATTATTGATCTGTGTTGTACTACTTTCATGTTATTACTGTGAAGCTGCTTTGATACAATCTGTATTGTGAAAAGCGCTATATAAATAAATGTGACTTGACTTGACACTGCCAACACACATTTATGTTCAAGCCTTGACACTTGAACTTGATATGTCTAGAAGCCCACCAACCTTCTCCAATGAATTTCTGCACCAGCTCTGATCCAGACACCCTGATGAAGGTGCAGTCGGTGTGGTGGGCCACGGCTCGGGCTAACAGGGTCTTTCCTGTGCCAGGAGGTCCATACAATAACACACCCTGCAGACCAACACACACACACACATTACAAAATATGAAGCAACAGACCAGTATCATTTCTTACATGACACGTTTGACCTGATAAGGATGTGTTATGCTATCACTTGCCTTAGGCTGTGCAATTCCTAGAGCCTCAAACAATTCTGGGTGCTTGACTGGAAGCTCAATCACTTCCTTGATCTCTTTGATTTGTTTGTCCAGCCCTCCGATCATCTCGTACGTCGAATCTGGCACTTTTTCCACCATCATCAGTGAGACGAGTGGGTCCACTTTGTTTGGCAGGATTTTGTGAAGCGTGTAACTGTCATTACGAAGTGCTACACGGCAATTTGGAGTTACCTGGAGGATATAAGAAATTAGTATACGATAAAGTTTAATAAGTTCACAAGTTAATACACATTAGTAATTAGTCAGATTTTTTATATGTTCTTTTTTTCCGTTTAATGACGAATACCATATTCCGGATCAGTTAGAAAAAGTAGTAGCACACCTAAAAGTAGTACACCTCAAGTTCAGAGGTATCATTCATGACTTTAAAACCTAGGGCTGATTGATTGGCACTTCATCGTCATCACGATTTCTGCTTCTTACAATTAATCAAGCATAATGTCCATTGTTTAGTTATCCTGAACACTTTTATTTATCTATTTAACATTTTCCTGTATGGGGTTGTCAGATGCCAAGGGTTTAAACCCTCCAATTTGAGCTTTTCTCCAAGAGCTTTAGTTAGTTTTCTCAACCGGGCAATCACATAAACACAATCTCTCTGCAGTGCAAAAAAAAAAAAAAATACAAATAGTACCGATGATCTGAAAATACAACAAATATGTACACTACCGGTCAGAAGTTTCAAATAATTATGCTTTAAAAAAAAAAAAAAAACCTATTATTGAAAGAAGTCTTGTGTTAAAACATATTAAGCAGCACAACTGTTTTCAACAACGATAATAAGAGATGTTTCTTGAGCATCAGATCAGCATATCAGAATGATTTCTGAAGAATCATGTGACGCACTGAAGGCTGGAGTAAAGATGCTGCAATATTTAATGTTAAATGATTTAAATACATTAAAAAAAAGAAAACAGTAATTTTAAAGTGCCCGTATTATGCTATTAAAAAATGTTATTCATTTTGTTTTGGAGGTCTCCTACAATTGGATTTACATGCACCTGAGGTAAAAAAAAAAAAACTCATATTTATTTAATTCTCATAATAAACACTGCACTAGGGCTGGGGTAAACGATTATTAACTAAACGATTAGTTGGGCAATTATTTTATCGATCAGTCGACTAATATAAAGAATATTTTTTCTGCTGCTCAATTAATAAAAAAACAACATCTCAAATAAATACTAGCATACTGAATCAAAATACTATAAGCTGGCTAACGTTAGTCTAATGTTATGTATTTGAACACCATTATAACTCTACAACCGCCAAAACCGTGTTATTAAAATATTTTTTACAAACATTTTTTATCATAGAGAATGTTTAAATATTAATATCAGCTGAGGAGGGAAACGGAGGTGGAGTTAGTGGTGCGATCGGAGGCTGCTACTGCTGGAGAATGAATCGGGAGAGGTTTGTGCACCTACTGATCAGAGCGCGTGCTGACACGGAGTAAAGCCTTGTTTATACTCGACACGTTCGCACGAGCGCGAATGTGCGCACGGCAAAAATGACGCGTTGGGTGCGCAAGACCAGGAAGACTGTGGATGGCTCTGTGTACGCCTTTTTTTGTAACAGCGCCCCGGCGCCGCGTCCGGAAACGTCTTCAAGCCGAATCTGCCCGAGCTTGTACGTCTCACCACACCAGCACCCAGTTTGCGCATCTAAATTGCAATTTTTTTTCTTAAGGGTTTGTTTACTGTATGTGATTCATTTATTGGATAGCACATTCACTTCTAGTTGTCTTCGTCCTCTATTCTGCAATGTTTCGGTCTCCCACGTGTGTGGCAAGCTGTACCGCCGGGAACATGCAAAAAATAAATAAATAAAGAAGCGTCGACGCAAAAATATGACGTCGACGCAATTTTGACGTCGAATCATCGACGATCCGCTAAAGCACTACAATGCACCATCACATCATTTCTCAAAGAGTCTTAAAACAGTTCGCTCAGTTTCAGTCTCTCTAAACTCCTCCTTTCCAAAAGCCTACTCTGCTCTGACTGGTCAGACGGCCCAAATATAATGGTCTGTTGTGATTGGTCTACTACTTACTGCGTGTGTCAGAAACGAAACGCCTATATTATCACATCTGAATATAAGCACCGGAGGCTTCCTCAGCCACAGTGACGGTGCGGTCAGTATTTCCGTATCAATTCCAGCGTAAGTCTTCATTCTAGTTATAAATCTTGATTGTGGTTGCTGAATAAAACGCACTTACTCAGCCTCTGTGCCACAGCGCAGTCTTTTTTGTTTGAATATTAACATAATTCAGAATTATTGGAGCTTCTTGACATTTTACCAGCTTTTATAATGTAGAGGTGTGTTGATGCATATGATATAAACTTCATGAGGTACAATAAACCCTGTGTATGAGTTTATGTTCTCTTGAATTGCACTTATGTGAAAGTGCAATATCATGACGAAAAGTTGATCCTTAGTAAAACCCAAACAAAACACTTACATCATTTATATCAATGTTCTTATCCACATCCACCACAAACTTTCCTTCAGGATGCACCTAAAAACAAAGCATAAACATACATGAATAAACAATCTCAGCACCGATCGTGATCATGAGAAAAGCTGAAAATAACGGCCGTCAAACCTTGACCAGCACTTTCTTCTTGTCCATGGCTCTCACCACCTCTCCAACATAAGAGCCCTGCTCCTGCAGTAACTGAAGCTCCTCACGCAGGAGGCGCACTAAAGGAAACAGAGCAAAACAATCCTGTCATGTCATACTGATTATATTTATAGCACAGTCTATTTGGCATCTGAACACCAAAAATGACATTCATAAAGTTGGTTGAAAGAGCTTTACCCTTGGCATTTAACTCATTCCTTTGAGCCTGCAGACGTCTGAGATTTTGGCTTTTATCGTTCACTGTCAACTGAGTGAAGAGACAAGCACATTTAGACACAACTTACCTTTGTAGAAAAGAAGTTGATTGTATTGAATGTACAGATTGTAGTGGAGTATTTGTTTTAAAACTTAATTTGCATATAATATAATATGAACAAAATAAACAGCAGTTTAAGTATACTTAATCAAAGTATAGTATGTATGTATTTTGATATTGCATTTAGAGTTAATATATTTTGAGTGTTGTAAATTGCAACTCAATCATTACACAGGTGTAATTACAAACATATTTAAATACATTACACACAAGTTTTAATATAAATGGCATTCAAGTGTATTTTAGTTTGTATCATAAATATTTGTCATTACATCCAGCAGTAAACATTAACCATATTTCAAAAACAATAGAAGTAATGATACTTTTACATATAGATGTAAGCGGATAAGGTCAACTGCATTTAATATACATTTAAAACAAATAATTAATAATAAACTGTCATGTAATTGTAAATACAACTTTGACAACGGTTCTTAATATTATCAACAGAATATATTGCGTGTCAGGCAAACTAACGTTACAACATTTTATGGCTATTCTCACCTGAAGCTCCTCGATTTTAGACAGGTAATACTGTCGGAGCCCAGAGCCTCCTTTACTCTCCTCAATATCCATCTGCAAAAATTATTAATAACAATAACATGATGAGGAGGAATGTCTTATGATTTCAGGATCAAATACGACATGATTTCTTAAGTATAATCAGAGAATTATCATTTTATTATTAGGCATATAAAGACCTCTGTTGTTGTTATAAGTGATTCTGCAAGTAAATACGAAACATTGATAATTTGTCATGTAATATATCCAGTTATGCCATGTTATGATCAGTCCCAGTCAGTGACAATGAGACAGCAAACTCTGCCTCATTCGGTGCTGACGCGCGTTACATTCAGCAATTTCAACTTATATTTCTAAACACTACAGTTACAGCATATTCCATCTATGAAATGTGTGATGCTAACCAACAGCTAACCATATTGTTCATACTAGAAGATTTAACACATGAATAACACTTACTTGGTCAATCCCGTCCAGCGCCATCTTGAACATACAAACTTCCGTTCGTCAGCGGCGTTTTTCCGTTTTGTTTTCCTCTCGGGGAGATGCAGAGTGAAGGAGTCGAGCTCTAGCGCCACCGACAGGCTGGAGAAACCGTGTGTGGACAGAAAAATGTAATCCCCCTGGGCTTATTTATACCGTTTGCATTGTTTGTAACAGCTTTAATGAATAATATGACTGTTCGAACCTATAATTGCTCTTGCTTTTGTACAGTATGTTTGCTGAAGCCCTCTCATCCTCATCCCCAGTCTCCATCATTTTGTACAATTTTAGCAGCCCCAAAACATTAGCGAAAAAGGAAACTCTACATGTCTATAGGACAGATGAGCTATTTGTATTATTATTATTATTATTATCATCATCATTTTTACAATTTCTAGGACACATTTTTGATATTTAGCAAGATACTATATTCAGTGGCAGTTATTTTTACCTTAAACTTTATGCTAAGAGTTGTTCTGAGTTCTTTATGCTAACAGTTGTTCTGAGTTCTGCATAACTTAATGTAATTATTTGAAGGTTGACTTTTTTGTATTAAAAACACTTCTTTTATTGGTCAGATGAAATATGCAAATGTTTTGAGATGGGGATTTTGGGTTTTCATGAGCTGTATGACAAAAATCATCAGTATTAAAACAATAAAAGCCTGAAAATATTAAAATATTTCAGTTGGTGTGCAATGACTCTAAAATATATGAAAGTTTATTTTTTATCATTACCTTATGGAAAATGATGAACTTTATCACAATATGCTAATTTTTTGAGAAGGACCTGAATGCTGTTATGATGTTGTCCTTTGGCTTATAGTGTGCTTATTTTTAACATTTAATCAGCTCAGAGACAGGAGATGAAAACGGTCTCTTTTGGCTTAAAATACACATTTATATAACATTAGTGTTAATTCATGTGTGTTGTCCTGGATATATAAACAAAAACACAGTTTATATATATTTATATTTTTTATTATGCATTTGAATCAAAATTGGCAAAACAATTTAACATATTAAACATTTAAAACATTAGAAAAATGTATGAATATGGTGCATAAACTGCACAATTTCTTGACGCTGACTGGTTCCAAGTCCTGGTCCTTGACTTTGGTTGCCAAGCGGGGCATTTTGTGTGGAGGTGAGTGAGCGGTCCACATCTGCATTATCCTGTTGAAGGAACACACACATCATGTCAAACTGACCAGATTTAGTGAGTGATTCTTAGAGAAAATCTTAATACTTGTTTCCTTCTACAATATCAATATGAGGCTTCTATAAACTGAATATGATTCTAGTCATGTATTAAATTATTAAAGTGTTTACATTTTTAAATCTGAAAAAAAAGAAGGGAACTTACCAATGCTCTCTTCCGGTTCATCTGGGACCTGGGAGGAATGCTGATCTGGTGCTGGTGTGAAGTCTTTATCCGATCCGTTTTCCTCGGTTTACGATCCTTTTTGACAATATCCACACAGATTTTATTTTTGGGAGCTGGCTGACACACACCTACGTTGCCCTGTTGAAGAAACAAATATAATCATGTTAGGCAGGTTTAATGAGTGCTGCTTGTTGGACTAAATCTAAACATTTCTTTCTAAAGTTTTTAAATAATATATAACAGGATTTGAATAGAGGACCTAGTAAACATAGAAGCATATTTGAAGTCAATGTTTTTTGTTTTTTTGTTATAAATCTGAAAATAAGTAAAATCAAGAGATGGAAGGGACTTACAGATGCTCCCTTTGGGATATTCTGCTCCCTCTGCTTCTGCCACGGCTGTTTAGGGATCCTGAGGCTTTCTCCCAGTTTGGGGGAAACTGAAGGCACAAGTGATCCCTGTGAGGTCCCCGAATTCACAAGCGCACCTTTTGGGATCCTTGGGGCCAAGGGCAGAGGTGGTTTTGGTGGAGACCCAGTGGGCACAGGGGCTTGCTGTGAGGATTCAGCCGCTGGTGCTTTCTGTACCCTTTTCTGCATCCACTTACTCTGCTGTGGATGCTGCGATCTCCAATCCTGCTTGAGCACAGTTGATCTTACAGATGCTGCGGGGACTCAACAGATGAAGAGTCTCAGGGACATTGCGATTTCTCCAATCCTGGGACTTCAGCACAGTTGATCCTGGAGAAAACCAAGTGGGCACAGGGGCATGCTGCGGGGACTCAACAGCTGCTGGTCCTTCCTGTGGATGCTGTCGCTCCGGCTTGACAGTCTCAGACAAATGACGATTCCGCCAATCCTGGGACTTTGGCACTGGCGATCCTAGTGGAGTCCTGGTGGGCACAGGAGCCTCTGCTTCTTCTACCTAGTCAAGTCAAGACACATTTATTTATATAGCGCTTTTAACAAAACAGATTGTATCAAAGCAGCTTCACAGTGATAACATGAAAATAATACAACACAGATCAATTATATTGTTGAATATTAAACGCACCTCCAGTGGTCCACACCAGGTGAAGTCCCCAAACTCGGGCAACTCAGAGATGGGTATTTCAACCTCCACAATAGCCCACCACTCTCCTGCTGCAAGGGCCTTGGAGAGCTCCTCTGAGTCTTCCCGACATAAGGGCTGCTCTCTTGACATACTCATGATGATATCTGAAGAACTGAACAATACTGATATTGGACAATCTCTAGAACACTGTGAAAGACAGAGAAATTGAAGAGATGAGTTGAGCAAACACATATATGAACCTGGAAGCTGATTGTCTTAGTTATCAAATAAATGCATAGTTGAAAAAATCAATTTTGCCCATGGCTGTCAATCAGAAGAAGCAATCTCCTCCTTAAAATCTATTCAAAATGAACAATTAAGCTTCTTGACTTTATGAATTATTTATAAATGATTAAATGTAACTACTAATGTGGACAACTAAGAGACATATAATGTATATAATATATATAATTATTGTATGTGAAAATGTCAGTGTCAGTATTTGCTTTCTACCATGCACAATTAAAAATGTCACTGAACGTTTGATGTTTAATTGTAACAATGAGCACTCACACACACACCAAACCAAGACACACACACAAACTGTTTTTGCACTTTGGACTAGTCAATAAAATTTATATCATGCCTGGTAGTCAAGGCACATTTTATTTACTGCACGAATTGAAGAGGATGACAGCAATAAATACTCTAGCGCTAATTAACAAACCAATGAGAATAAATATTCAAATAATTTGTCTGTCCAAAAGGGCCATAAAAGGCATAAGGAGTCTAAATAAAAATTACATCCTTTTGCATATCAGTTACAGTCAGAGATACAGAGATAACCATTAAGCTTTCATTATATAATGTGTCATGAGATCTGCTGGTTGGTCAATATAAAGGATCTCAAGGCAAGAGAAATTGAAAAGCTGCGGAGTTTCTCGCAAAGATATGATAATGTCTATGCTCTTCATATACGCATACATGTTTAAATGGTCATTTGTTGATTTCATCTGATTGAAAGAATAATGTGTCATTATAATTATAAAGAATATAGGAGATTATCACCCGTGTATGGGAGCATATCAACAAATAGCTAACGTTAGGCCTATATAAAAAAACATCAAACCCAATTCAGCCTACAGCCTATTAAATTTGTGCACACAAATTACAACTGATATCATTAATTTATGCTTAGATTCAATAGCATTATATTGTTAAAGTAGATTATATTCTGAGTAATGCAATTATGTAATAAAATTCAAATATTCAACCCCTGAATAAAAAGCCGTCTACTCACCATCACTCGCCGACTCGCTACAAATCGCCAGATAACTTTGCACTCAGTTTCTCAGCGAACGCTCTATGATGTCACAGTAGCGCGAGGCGCTCAAGCATCTCAATGAATGTGAAGAATGTTAGATTATTAAAACGGAATTTTCAATTCAAATACAAACAGTGACAAGTGGCCTATGTTTATTTTATGATTGTTCATAATAAACTGGTAGCTGATGTTCATAACATTTTTGTTCAGCTGCTTTGTTAAATAATTCTAACAGCTAGCTTCTTTCCTAAGCATTTGCTTTCCCTTTGATAAGTTGCATAATTATTATCTCTATCCGTTTTCAATTTATATGGTTTGCATGTGTTTACCTTCAAGAAATTGTTTTCAGATTGATTTATTATTATGAATGTTTTCATCTAATTGTTTGTTGCAAATATTTTGGGTTGTATAATAAGCATATGCTTTAAATGAATACAATATATTTTTGTAGCCGGAGAGTGTGTGTGTGTGTTGGTTATACGTGCAAATTCGCGCCATTGCGTAGGTTACATTTGAGAGGGAACAGTTTACGGTTGGTAATCCAATGTACACACAGCAATGCTTTCCTTTGAGGCGCTCCAGATATTCCAAAAGTCATTTCTCGGCCAAATATTGTTCTATCCTAACAAACCATAATCAATGAAAGTTTACACACAAGAAACCGGCCTCGCGACTCTCGCCATCTAGACACGGTGGAAGTTACCTGATTGTGACTGATGGCCGAATTAACAAAACACATTATAAATTAGCAAAGGGGATAAAGTCAGAAGTAAAGTGATGTAATGACGAATGAACAGTTTATCTGGATAGAATTTTAGGCCACTTTTTCAAAACTCTTCACACAGAGAGCACAACATCAGTCTATGGGCTAAACTGTTCATCATCATTTATTGTTTGGGGCAAAATGCATGAAATTACTACATCTTTCAAATTACATAAATAAATGTCTTATTTAGACATAAACTTCACCAACACATGTAGGCCTAACTACAGGTCAGTTTGCACGTTTAGGCTACATACTCTTTTCAAAATTGTTAGACTAAAGTTAAAAATCAAAATGTTTCAGACAGTAATGTTCTACAGTAATACTACCATAATGAAATATATTCTGAATCTAAAAAATTAAGAAGCCAACTATCAAAATAACAAGCTGAACACCCCAGTGTTTTCGATTTCATTACCATTTGTACAAAATAATAATAATTTTGTACTACAATGTAAACATGGACTATGTAGGCTAATGCAGAGCTTTATACAGTAAGTTGAGTGTCATTCTTGTTTTGTAAAAAAAAAGAAAAAAATACAAAAAAAATGTATAATGCTGTTTGATAATGGTTTTTTTGAGAAGGTGTGTTTGTTAGGTGAAAACTTCTGCTTATGGAAGAATGAGTTGATTTGAGAAATGTATGAAGTGTTTTGGTATTTTAGTGCATTTTGAATGTGAAATCAACTGCTATATCAAGTTGGAAGATGTTTAGGAGAACTGTGTATATTTTTTTTGAAAAAAATAAAAATTACCCAAGTATTGAGCAATGGGTCCTAGCTATTGTAATAAACTGTAATGAAGACCGGTATTACCAGACTAACCAGGACAACAGACACTACATGCATCAACATGACTGGTGTCGAACAAACAATCTACTCTCTAGTAGACAGACCGACATACCTGATTTTCTTACTTCTGCATACATATTTAATCTAACATTTAATATTCCATCAAAATGTCTATTTTCAGACATTGTATTTTTGATTATAACATACTTATATTATGCTCAGTCACATGTTAATTCCCTTTTATGGAAAGAACTTTATTGTTTAAAATTTTCCAATTTCCCAGTAAAAAAAAGTACAAAAGCATTTGATTGATACAAAAATATAAAACAGAACTTGCGTTGTAAGTTAGCACTTGCACAAAAAGAGCTCAATCCACTCACAAGTAAATCAAAAGTACAAGAGCTTGTGGCGTTTCAGATCAGTATTAATACTGTCTGAATAACCATCGAAAGGAACATTCTATTGATAACATCTGTGGCATGCTGTCAATTATAACAAAACCGTTTCAACTCGTCCTTCAGAGATGCATTTAAAAATTTCGTTTTTTAACCACTTTATAAACTGGAAAGTCAAAACCGATTTCCTGTGGTAATCAGATGTTAAACCTGTTAAATTCCTTAATTGAAAATTCAACTTCCTGTCAATACCACAAATAACAACACCACCAATATGAATGATCACATACTAAAACCCACTTAAATTTCCATCCGCTGTTTGGAATGTAGAAGTACACACTGAACTAATCTACTTTAAAAATATGGCTTTGAATACCTGAAAATAAAGAATATGCTGATGGTTAGGACACCATCGTTCACAAATTCAGTCGCTGCAGTACGGTCTCTACCACCGACACTAAATAAGAACATGAACTGGTAAAAAAGCAAAGAAACGTAAACCATAACGAGATGAACATAGGAAGTCTGGTGTACTGAACTAAACCAGCTGGACAACCAAATGTGCTGGGGTGGAATCACAAAAAGATGGCTCTTGAACGCAGTGCAGCACATATTTTCCTGAGAGACGAAATGGAAAAAATCCACAATATATCGAAAAAATAAAAACATTGCATTTTCATTACTAGTCAACCTAATTACAAGTATCTGACTCAAAAATTGTGCAATTAATTTGCTCAGCGGTCAGAATTCAAACATTTCAGAAACAAAATGGTGAATGTAGACAGAGTTTGGCAATTCCTAATTAACTATATAGTTAATTAACTATTAAACTATAAACATTAAAAGGATGAACAACTAGAATCTGTGTCGCATCTGTTACCGATAGGGGTTTTTAGGCATTTAACAACAGTACTGTATATCTTACTGTAAATAAAAGAGCCCTATTTCAGAGGATATCATAAAAGTAAAGCTGTCAAAAAAACTGAATCATAAAGAAAATGAACTGAATGGCTTATTTTCAGAATAATATAAAACAAAATCAGAGATTGAATTCAAAAAGAGTTCCAGTTAATGTAACAGGATTTGAAATTGGAAGTGACCAGAAGTTTATGACAATACCAAACAATACCAGCACCCAAAACTTCTATATGAAGTGCATCTATTGATTTTTTTCTCATCTGTATTTGAGCGGATTCCTTTCATGACTGGATCTGGAGTCTGAATCTTCTTAAGTGAGTCGGATTCCTAGTACCTGTTCCAATTCTTGTCTCCTCTGCTGGACCTGAAACAAAAAACAACAAAAAAAAAATAATAGATATTATTTATTTATAGGGCTGGGCAAAAAAAATCGATTTTTCGATTAATCGTTTTTTTAAAATGTCTTCGATTCAAAATCGATTCTCAACGGCCGGAATCGATTTTTTCCATATAAAGGGCTCGCGGACGCGGTGCTGCATCTTCTCGTCTCTCTGCACTAGGCAAGCGCCAAGCGCTGCAGCTGTCGATACACACACGCGTTTAGGAGTCGGGACATGACGGAATATTCACTTAACAATCGGGCCAGCATTGCATCGTAACCTATGATCGTAACTAACGTTTATCATTTTCACGTCTTTTTGAGTTTTACAAGCAATGTTAAACCATCCCATGCTCGCGCACTCTCAGAGATGTCTTTCACTGCGTGCACAGTACCGCCTAAATCTGCCTCACAAACAGCTCGCCAGAAACAAAAGTTTTATCTCTGGATTAGATCACTTTAAGAGTTAAAACACGCGACATTATGTCAAAACTCTGGTCTTGGTGAGTAACCTCCTAAAGACAGTCGGTAATGTCTTAAATTAGCATTAAACGTGTGTGACAGAAAGTTAATGAAACAGTAATGGATTCGCGCACTAGTTCTTAAAGTGAACGCAGCCATTTGTGTCAGTCATTAATTCAACAGAGTCATAACAACAGAATATAGTATTAATTGTAAGCAATCAGAATTAATAGCCTTTGTATTTAATTCAGTCTGGACTAAAAAGACTATCCAGTGTTATTTTACATTGGATTACTTTATTCAGTTTCTGTAGTATTTCTGACATACCCCAAAAAAACTACCCCAAAATGTCTCTTAATTTGTGTCTTTATTCTATTGTATTTATTTGTGCTACTTTTTTTAAATTTAATTCAAAGATTGAAATCAAGCTTCCATACATACAAAAATAAAAAAAAATTTACATTACCATTTAGGTAAGATCAATGTAAAAAAAAAAAGTCTAAATATTTATATATTTATTTATCTATATCTATCTTAAACATAAAATAACATGATACTGTTTGATCAAGCTGTGCGACTGACTTTTTTTGCATATTGCATCAAAATCCTGTTTATTCTCTGTATGGATTTAGTGTACCTAAAATAAAAAGAGTTTTATATACAGGTTTATGGCTCTTAATTTCCTTGTATTAATTAACCACTAGTAAACTTATGTCCACTGTTCTTTTTTATAAATATAGGATTTGTATTACATCTTCATTATAGTCGAATCGAGAATCAAATCAGGAATCGAAATCGAAAATTGAATCGAGAATCGAAATCGAATCGAACTGAGAGCTTGTGAATCGAAATCGAATCGAAATTGAAATGTGAATCGATACCCAGCCCTATTTATTTACTATAGCATCTGATGTGTTTTGTAATGGAAAGCACTCACTTTTGAAAATATGTAGCGTCCAACAGCTTCTGTAACCCAGTTTGAGTGATAAAACTCAGTTCTCCTCTCCTCCTCTGGATTACCCACAGTGTCTGTCATTAACTGCATAAACCAAGACACAACATCATAAATGAATGAATGAAAAAAATCTGATTCACCAAATCCTAAAACTCTGAGTATACCTTGAGGTCTCGGCTCTGAGACTTGAGCCAGTCCTGGATGAAATCCTGTGGGTTGTTACTAAAGCTGAGCATGAAGTCCCTCTGGGTTTTCAACTGATTGATGGATTCAATAGTCTCATGGATCTTATGGAGAACGTAAATGTTTGGTTAAAAATAGCCTCTTTACCTTATAATGAGTGGAGAACAATTTACACGATGTGTCATTTACGTCCTTGCACACACATACCTTCATCTCCAGGGTAGCAATCTCCTGCTGATTGGTTGTGGATGACAGGAAGCTGGTCATCTGAGCCTTCAGAGGGTCGTCCACCTCAACATCGATGTCAAAGCACGCAGTCTTTTTCTGATCATTGGGATCCACACTGACAAAATGATACAGCAATAAAGCAGCATTTGGTCAAAATCAAATAACCATACTACTACTAATAATAATAGCATCCAGACAACTACACACTCTAAAGTGTTAGTACAAGTTTCCATTATTATTTTGTCAATAATTGTATTCAACAGTCCCCAAAGTTCTCATCAATGCCGAACATGAGTTGGCTATTTTTTTCCCCCTAAAACTCACCAATTTAAAATAAATACAATTTTAGTTTTCCTGAGAATTTTATTAGTAGGTGCAAGGCAAGCTATTAGAGCCCGACCGATAAAGGATTTCGAAGGCCGATACGATACAATTTTTTTTTGTTTGTTTTAAAATCCGATATGCCGATATATCGGCCGATATTTTTTTTTTTTTATTTCAGAAAGGCGCAACAAAACATTAACAGATTTCCCTAACATTAGTTACTTGTAGTTATTTATTAGTTTTAACTAAAATAATATGATAATACATTTTAAAAAGAAACTTTCTAAAAGTTTATTTTATTGTCACAACAGAACAGACTGATGATAGTGGCATTAGCTAGCTTTATGGTTAGCTAGTCTATGATGAGCCCTAATTTAACAATGGATTACGTCATACTGCAAATTTTGTCACGCTTATTTGAGTTAAGTGAACTGATCCGGATGTTCTTTTAATTGTTATTCAAGCAATGTATGTCACGTGACCAACTTAACGAGTGTTGCCAACAGAAACGGTGTAGAGTGCCCTCTGGTGGACAAACTATACAACTCCAACACTCATGACATGGTTCAAGCGTGTTTCGTCTGTTTTTTTGTTTTGTTTTTTGTTGTTTTTTAAATATTCATTCATCGGCCATTATAAACTGCCGATACCGATAGTTTGGAAAATGCCTAATATCGGCCTGCCGATATATCGGTCTGGCTCTACAAGCTATATTCAGAAAAATTAGTGTGATCAAACTTTGGTTTGTTCGGTTAAAAATGTCATATATATATATAAAGAAAAAAAACAAACAAAAAAACATTAAAATATGCATGTTAACTAAAGTAACGACTGAGAACATTCAGTCCAGAAACCATAAGCACGCACCTGATGTTATGATTGATGACGATGGGGTCAGGGTGCTGAAGGAGGCTGGCGAGTTTCAGCTGCAAATTTTGTCACGCTTATTTGAGTTAAGTGAACTGATGCGGATGTTCTTTTAATTGTTATTCAAGCAATGTATGTCACGTGACCAACTTAACGAGTGTTGCCAACAGGAACGGTGTAGAGTGCCCTCTGGTGGACAAACTATACAACTCCAACACTCATGACATGGTTCAAGCGTGTTTCGTCTGTTTTTTTTTTGTTTTTTTTTTAAATATTCATTCATCGGCCATTATAAACTGCCGATACCGATAGTTTGGAAAATGTCTAATATCGGCCTGCCGATATATCGGTCTGGCTCTACAAGCTATATTCAGAAAAATTAGTGTGATCAAACTTTGGTTTGTTCGGTTAAAAATGTCATATATATATATATAAAGAAAAAAACAAACAAAAAAACATTAAAATACGCATGTTAACTAAAGTAACGACTGAGAACATTCAGTCCAGAAACCATAAGCACGCACCTGATGTTATGATTGATGACGATGGGGTCAGGGTGCTGAAGGAGGCTGGCGAGTTTCATGGGAATATCCGAAAATCTCATCCTGGGGCATCCAAAAATCTGCAGGATTACAGCAGTTCAGTGACACATGGCTCAGTCTATAACCAATGAGTTCATGGTCAAGCATCTATCCCATAGTTTTCTTTGCACAAAGTATGCTATACAGTATCTCAGATCAAGACCTAAAGACAACGAGAGTGGCGCTTCTATATAGTTGCTAAGGTCTTCTGAATAGTTGACAGGGGCATTGCAAAGTGGGCCCAAACAAGTCTCTATGACAATAAAGTCATACTTTTACATTACATACATTTACATTTGGCTTGGGTCTCTCCAGCTTTGTATACATGGGCAGTTTAAAACGAGATCTGACATTGAGAGGAAGGGCGGAAGTAACACGAGAGCTAATGCAGTTAGCTGTGTCATCAGCTTAACAGGGGAAAAGGCAACCAAGTAAAATAATACAGTGGTTTCAATAGGGCTGGGGTAAACGATTATTAACTAAACGATTAGTTGGGCGATTATTTTATCGATTAGTCGACTAATTGGACGACTAATATAAAGAATATTTTTCTGCTGCTCGATTAATAAAAAAAACAATGTATCTCAAATAAATACTAGCGTACTGAATCATGATACTATCATTATAACACTACAACCGCCAACATAGTGTTGTTAATATATTTTTTACAAACATTTTTTATGATAGAGAATGTTTAAATACTAATATCAGTTGAGAAGGGAACGGAGGTGGAATTAGTGGTGCGGGTGATGATTCAGGTGAGCTCTGTGCCCCCCGTTGGATGCGCGAGACCGGGAAGACCTCATTTCGCTTGCCTTTGTGCACGCCTTTTTTTGTAACAGCGCGCGTGAAGCTGCGTCCGAGGATGATCGATTTCAAGCCGAAACTGCTTGAGCTTGTACGTCTCACCACACCTACACCCAAGTTTGCGTGTCTAAATTGCTGAGATATTTTATTTAACAGAAGTAGCCTACATCGAACGGCCCATTTGGACTATATCCCTCTACTCCCTTCTTTAAAGGGATACTCCACTTTTTTTGGAAATAGGCTCATTTTGACGAAAATTATTCGTCAACGACATTTTTTCACACACGAAAACGAAACGATAACTAAATAAAAAATAGTTTCGAATGACAAAACTATGACGAAAATGAAAATGTTAGATAGTGACGATTTGGGAAGCGATCAGTCAGAACTGATGTCCTGCGTGTGTGGTTTGTACGGTGCACATTTGTACGGTGATGTGCTGATCTACCCCGCGGTCTCATAAAACGTTAAAACGTGATCGTCTGGGAGAATGAGTAGAGCAGACATATAGATATAAATAAGCGTGACGATGCAAAAAAGAGATATATTCGGTACGGTTCTCCGTGCGCACAAACCCACCCTGATTCGAACCTCGCAGCCATGCACACACACATATAAAGCACGCGGGGACTGAACTGAGCTCTCTTTCGGGTCTGAATGGATAAATACCCACAACATTATGTCCGTTTTGGACAGTATTCATCCAAACTATGGTTATGACAAACAGTTGTGAGTGTATCGGATGTGCATCAGTGCAATTGGATCCGCATGTCATTGGAAATGATCCGGTCTTAAAGTGATAGTGGCATTAAACATAATGTTGTTTGTGTCCTTAATATTGATCAAGCAGCAAAGAAAAAGAGAAAAGCAATCACTGTTTGTTAATAGCTTTAGTATATAGGCTAATAAGGATTAATTATATTTAATTTATTCAAATAAATATGTCTGCTTGAAAGAATAAAGAATGATGTATGCAAGTAGTTATAAAGAATGCATATATCATCCATTGAAAAGACTGCTGTACTTTAGGAAAAGTGGTATATGGAAAAAGGAGTATATGGGTTTGTACATTTTATTCTATTCTAAATTCTAAATAAATGCATTACAATTTAACTAAACCAATTATATTTTAGTCGACTAAATCTACTGTAGATTTAGTCGACTAAAATCACATTGAAATTTGTCGACTAAAACTAAAACAATTCAGATGACAAAAATATGACTAAAACTAAATGCCATTTTAGTCAAAAGACTAAAACTAAATCAAAATTTGCTGACAAAATTAACATTGATTTTACAACTCCCTCAGAGTTACTGTATTTCGAATCCATTCAGTTGATTTTCTGATATTTAGAGGAATATCAGTAAACAGACAGTTTATGGTCTCATTGACTTCCATAGTATATTTTTTCCTACTATGGAAGTCAATGGGACCAGAAACTGTCTGGTTACTGATATTCTTCTAAATATCAGAAAATCGGCTGAATGGATTCGAAAACGATAAAACTCAACTGTTTAACTCTGAGGGAGTGGTAAAATGAGCCTATTTCCCAAAAAAAGTGGAGTACCCTTTTAATGATGTCAGTAGAACAGTTTTTTTACTAACGTCCGCCCACAGGAATGCTCCCTCAACTCCCTCAACTTGCGCACTTCTTATAACTTACTGTGTTTACTCTGCAATATTTAGCTCTCCCACATGTGTGTTTGGCAAGCTGTACCACCAGGAATGTGCAAAAAAATAAATAAATAAAGAAGTGTCGACGCAAAAATATGACGTTGACGTAATTTTGACGTCGAAGCGTCAACGTCATTGACGCGCCGCAACAGCACTAGATTTCAAGCAGTTAAGATTTAGTAAAAGTATAAAGACTACAAAGAGAATTGGGCCAAGAACCGAGCCCTGGGGGACGCCTCTATTGACAGGTCAGGAGCACTGGAAATGTTCTTTCTCTGGAAAAAAGACAAATTGCTATCTATCACTTAGGTCGGATGTGAACAAGTGCACAGCTGTGCCAGTAATAACAATGGCTTAGAGGCAAGAGAAAGCAGCTTGTGGCAGACACAGTGTCAAATGCAATGCTTAGATACCAGGGTTTCTGCAGTTTTTCCTGTTCTAATGTGTTTTAGATTGAGCTTCTGTAGGGGGGCTGCAGAAAACGTATTAGTTAAGAAAAAAAAAAACCTTAGTGATAATTCATGTTTATCATTTGTTGCAACCTGGAAATTAAAGAATTGTGAGAACAGGCTAGGGGTAATTTCCTGCTACGAGCGCTAGATGTTTTGTGTACCTGTCTGAAGTATCGGTTGCAGTTAATGAACTCTTTCTCATGGCAGTCTTGCAGCTTGTTGTTTTTGATGTAGAGCCACAAGGCTTGCATGATACTGGCTCTGGTCTGAGTGTGGACTCCCAAAAGTCGAGCCAGACGTGGATCCAGCTTATACTGCGGAGGCTAAGTCAAGTACAAGGAGAAGACAATCGTTAAAGACAACCATATACTCCTTAAAAAATAAACTAATGACATGAATAGACTGAACTTTTCTTTTCTTTTGAAAACCCCTTTAGTGTTTTTAGCTTTTAGTCCATGTCTGTGAGCTTTGAGGCTATATGCTTGTGTTCTCCTAAAAGTAGACAAAACACTTTAAAAAAAAATGTAAGTTAAAAATGTACATTTATTCATTCAATCTCTTAAGAGAAAATGTACCAATGATTACGCATCTTGCATTCATGGGCGTATCTAACCGTCACCTGCTTCTGAATAGCAAGTGGTAGTGGCATGATTCACAACATTAAAATTCTGTTTAATGATAATGTGATGTAAACAATTGAAAACTGGCTATTAAAAAAATACATATATACACCGCCAGTCAAAAGTTTGGAATAATTAATTCATATTTTGCAAAGAAGTGTCTTATGTTAACCAAGGCTGCTATTATTTGATAAGAAATACAGTGAACAGTTATATGGTATTTCTATTCTTTTTGAATATATTTCAAAATGCAATATAGTGTTCTAATGCAAAGCTGAATTTTAAGCATCATTACTCCAGTCTTCAGTCACACGATCTTTCAGAAATCATTCTAATATGCTGATTTGCTCCTTAAGAATATTTTCTTAGTAATAGTTTTGCTGTTTAACTGTGTTTTTGTGTGGGAACCGTAATCTATTACAATTCAAACGGCAAGTAAAATAATAAAGTAAAGACATTTAATGTTACAAAAGATTTCTATTTCACAGAAATAAAATAATTGCCACAAAAATATTAAGCAGCAAAAACTTTTTCATTTTGTTTTGATAATAAGAGCCATTATTAATAATTGATCACTGATAATAACTGTTGAGCACCAAATCAAGCATATTGGAATGATTTCTGAAGGATCATGTGACGCTGTGGACTCAGCTTTTCCATTACAGAATGAAATAAAATTTTTAAATAGATTAAATTAAAAACATTATTGTTTTACTGTAGTTTTCCTCAAATAAACACAACGTTTCAAAAATCGTAATCTTTCCAAACTTTTGACTGGTATTGTATGTGTTTGTGAGATGTGTACCTGGTGATCTAGCATGAGAAGGAGAGTACATTTCACATTCACATCTCCGGGTCTCTTCACCTGAAATCCATCCGTCTCCTGAGTTGTGGGCATTCTATGCCACTAAGACACACAGAAAAAGATATGACTACAGATGTAATGACTGGATTTACTGCAAGAGAGTACAGTTGTGTTTGATGAGGTCATCATTATTTAAATAGATTTATTCATTGCATTATTATTTTTATAATAACACTATAATGCCATACCTCCACCAAGTGGTTGTCTGGGCCATAAAGTTCTTTGTCCAGTTCAATGACGAGGCTTTTAAAGAAGGATGAAAACTTTCGTTTCTGTTTCCCAGGCTGAGGAGGGTTAGAAAGAGAGAGAGAAGTAGGGAAAAGGGAAGAGAGAACACAAAATGTGTTCATGCCATTGATTGATACTGCATTGTTTGGAGCTGACCGCACTGGGGGGATTTTTTTTTAGAAGCGGCTCCCACAGTTATTGCGCCAGTATGTGTTTGCGCAATGCCTTGCCTGTCCCTCCCTTGCAGTTCCACACAACTTATAACTCGGGCAGAAGAAAGTAAAGAAAACGTGGCACTTTTTATGTGGCAGGAGCATATTAAGCTGGCAAATACATGCTTAGACATCTACGGACTAATTTCACAAACTGGACTGAAGTTTCAATTCCCTTCTCTTTGAAAAGTCTGGGAACATGGAACAGCTTAGAGCACATCTGGTTTGAAGGAGGGAGTTGAGGACATGAGCCAGTGAAGTTAAGCTGGCCAACAGACCAAGAGACTCAAGACTGCCAAATAAAATAGAATTAAGGATAGGGGCGACCAAGTCAGATTTTAACAAGAGCCTTTACTTGTCATGAAACACTGTAAATGGACTCCACTGTGTGATCGCTCAAACTTGCCTGAAGTTCACAAACGTGCCAACAAGTGAAAACATAGTGAAAATCATTACATACATCCTCCAGGAGTTTGCCTTCCACTCGAAGTTCCCAGGAAGCCACTTTTTCAGCCTCCTCTCCCTCTGGCTTGCCAGGTGTGTAGGTGTTAGAAATGTAGATCCTCAGTTTGCGTTTTTGCTGGATGAGTAGAACAAAGCGCATTGAGATAATAAGCGATTTGGTTAAAGTTGGGATAGAGAAAAAATATAAGTCTAGCAGCCAGTGAATCCTGAAGCTAAAGCAAAAAGGTTTAGTTCACACAAAAAATTTAATTCTGTCATCATTTGCTCGCCTTGATGCCGTTTCAAACCTGTATAACATTCTTTCACCTGTGGAACCCATTTTGAGAAACGGAAACAGGTTGGTTACCAGCTTTATTTAAAATATCTTCTTTAATCATACAGGTTTGGATATGACATGAGGGTGAGTAAATGTGTGAGCTTCCCTTATGCCTGGTTCAGACTACCCGATTTTGGCACGATCCGTTTGTAGGGCTGGGTATCGTAACAAAATGTTTGATACCGATACCGATACCTTGACTTCGATACCGGTTATACTGTTCGATAACAATATAATATTACCTACATTTTTTTTTTCAATTTGTTGACTTTTTGAGTATGTATAAAAACAAAAATGCTAAAGTTTTTAATTGCCTAATCATTTAACAACATGTGAAGAGTTCATGTCCTCTAAGTGCCATTTGAAATTTTCTTCTAGAATGATCATTTTTAACAAGCTTGTATATTTAAGTTCAGTGATTTCACTTAAATTGCAATGATAATTACCTATTAATTGTTATTTAAGTGAAATTACTGAACTTAAATATAAAAGTTTGATAAAAATCATCATTAAAGAAGAAAATTTCAAATGGCATTTAGAGGCTTTTGCATCTGAACTCTTCATGTATTCCTTACTTCACTTACCACTTAGGTACCGAAATTTGGTACCGAAAAACAAGACATGTTTCGATACTCGGTAGTTCCGAGGCAATTCGGTCGGTACCTGAAAAGTACCGAACTCGGTACCCAGCCCTACCCGTTTGAAGTAGGGTGTCGTGGGGATTCGTAAACGTCAACGGGTGTCGGGACGCAAGATTCGATCGTATCATCTCGTATAGTGTGTCATAGTGGGCGACAACCTACGATACTTCACGACATCACGACAAAAAGACTAGCATGTTTAATTTTTTTAATGGTCGTCCACGATGGTTCCGTCAAATGTATGAGGTTGACCAATAGGAGCACAGAAGCTTTACCGTACACAACTTTCAAAAATGTCGAAACGAAAGAGAGACGATGGTGCTAACGTTAAAACTAAAAGTAAAAATAAGAAAGAAGAAAACAATATTTTCCCTCAAATTACTGTCCTCTTCAAGCAATCCAGGAACGTCTTTTTTTTTTTTTTTTTTTTTTTTTTTTTTTACTTTTTTCTGAACACAGGACAGCCAATACAACACTCACTTGTTTGTTTACGTTCGTTTCCGGAAGTCACTCGCAACTAGTTTCGCCTTCTCGATGACATCACGTGCGCCATTAAAGACGGCATGCTATGACTGGTCAGGAAGCAACGTGTAGTCTGATGTGTCTTGTCCACGACACGAAAAGATTTTAGGAGTCGAAATCGCGTAATCTGACACAGTGACTATCGTAACAGACAAAAAAAATCGTGTAATCTGACAACATCGTGTAATTAAACATTGCTACTCCGGTCCACTACATTTACCGTGATCGGCTTTTTGATGGCCTCCTGTATCTCCATGCGTTTGCGTGCAATGGTTTGGTCCAGCTTTCTCTCGAAGGCCAGAAGGTCCATGTAAGCCTGAGACTCTGGGACCAGATCCCTGATCTGAGGAAAACCAAAATCATGAGAAACTATGCACTTCAGCATCACAAAAAAAGAAAAGAAAAGATTTTCACTATTCTGGTTAAACTCACCCTCTGCGGGAGCACTTTGTCAGCCATCTTACGCCTCTTCACCCTGAAAATGTAGAGCAGATGTGTAAGGAACATGACTCAACACAAACATATGGTAAAATATCATTTCAATTACAGAGTGCACTGCAGATCTAAAGTGTAAGCCACAAAATATAACTTTTTCTTCGTAAATTTTACAGTGAATCAATCATTACTTTGGATAAACATTTACAGTAAAACTTATGAATCTGTCCTGATCGAGCTCAAAAGATGAATTACGTTAACATACAGTACTCTAATGTAATAATGCTTTACTAAGAGTGTTTTAAGGGTTAGTGTGTTCACACTTGGCATGTTTGATTTGAAGTAATAAGTATGAACGCTGCCACCGAACGCTGGTGCACACCAAACACACAGACCAAGACCGCTCTGATTGGTCTTGGTTTACTTCCAAACGAACTCTGGTGCAGTTTGAATGAAATATGAACGCAACACGGAACAAATGTACACAATCCAAAAAAGATGCGACCCTAAAAAGGACAGAATGCTAAAGCATACCTCTTTTTTCTTATTATAGTCACGATGTTGCCCATTACAGTTTGGAACAGGCGTCAGATCTTTCTTTGTGTGTAACGGAGGGATTCCTGCAGCTGTTTTGACTCCTTTACAGATTCTATAAGCTCTTCACGAGTTCTCAGCTGGTCAAAAGACCATGTAGGTTTCGCACATAAAACGAGTGTATTTATCCCAGCACACAGTATTGTTTTCATAAAGTTGACCAATCAGGTTGTGAACATATCCCTATGCCTTTAGATTCGGTATCTTCAGGTTCAGTGTGAAAAAATGCCAATGTGAACGCTAAGCGGACCAGGTCTACTTCTTTTTTTTTTTTGGTCCAGATAAAACTAACCAAGCACACTGAACTACAAGTGTGAACTAAATCTATTCTGCTCCAAAATGATTTAAATTTTTTTTTTTCAATAATTCCAGTTGGGCCTGCTTATAACACAACAACAAACAAGATAAAAGAGGAATGTGATTCATAAGGAGTCTCGTGTTACTCATTTTGTTTAAATAAATATGCAGCGATGCATGAGGCACCACTCACAGAAGTAGTTTTCAAACTAAGCATTTTTCTTTTGGTCAACGTGACTAACATGAGTGAAATCTGCATGGGGAACTCTTTCGCCCTTCCGTAAAACTTCTGATCGCATGGATTCCTATTGAAATGCCTGGATTTTGCCTGCAAAAATTCACAGAGCAACGGTAAATGTGACCAGACTTTATGTCTGTGGGTTTTTTCACCGGTTTTATCATTAAAAAAAATCATCTGCTTTTTTTAGTAATAGGCTACACACCTCTCCTCAACTACTTGCATAATTTAAAGTACCGGTATTAAAGGTATAGTTCTCTATGAAATAAATTTTTGGTATGTTTTAGCTTACCTTGGGCATCCAAGATGTAGGTGTCTTTGTTTCCGCAGTAGTTTTAATTTTGATATTTTTAGGTCAAACCGTTCTTGTCGGTCAGTCATATAATGCAGGTCTATGGTCACCACCTCACAGAGCATGCACAGAGAAGTCCAAATTAAACATGATTTAATGCCTCGTAAATGTAAGTACACATTGATGGCCTAAGATACGAAACGAGCGGTGTGTGTGAGAAAACGGAGAGTATTTATATTGTTTTTACCTCTTGTAATCACAGCCACGTCCAAGTGATCTGAGGGCGCGGGCGCTTTATGGCTGTGGTAACAAGAGGTAAAAACAAAAAAAAAAACGCGTGTTTCGTGTCTTAGGCCATCAATGTGTACTTACATTTACGAGTCATTAAATCATGTTTAATTTGGACTTCTCTGTGCATGCGCTTTGAGGTGGTGACCATAGACCTCCATTATATGACTGACAGACACGAACGGTTTGACCTAACAATATCAAAATTGAAACTACTGTGGAAACAAAGACACCTACATCTTGGATGCCCTTGAGGTAAACTAAAACATACCAAAAATTAATTTAAAAGTGAACTATCCCTTTAAGGCCCAAAGACAACCATATTAGCATCAATAACAGCGGACGATATTCTGTTTAAGCATGTTCTGCAGTTTTGGCATCTGCCGATTTAAATGCTCGAGCTCAAAGCAGAATGGATTCTGATTGGTTGTCAATCTTTTTTTATCATTCATCAGCTGGAAAAAAAAGTTCTGAATGTGATTCCAATGATATTGTTTCTCTGTGTCATTATCTTTATAGTTGCTGTGTGCAGTCTGCTATTCTTTTCATTTCACATGCTTTAAGATAGTGGTTCTCAAGGAGGGCAGTGTGCTAAATTATGTTGTAAAACATATGCGCAAAGTGTGAGGTCATATTGTGTGTGCATGTCTTGGGTGTGGGTAGAAAACATTCATCAGCAGCCTCTCAAAAAAAATAATAAAAAAAAAACAAAAAACATTCGTCCGCTCTCCTCCTGACCGCAAATCCACCGTCAGTGTTGTAGGTAGGCACTAGGCAGGTGTTTTGTGTTCATTTCTATTGCATTACAATTGAAAGTAGTATCAATAATGTCAAAAATATGATGTGAGGGCGAATAATAAATTAATTGAAATTAGCATACACAATGGTTGAACTCTAATAACTGCATTGAGCCATGCCAGTGCTGATCCTCCTGAAATACATGAGCACTTTTTGAAAGCCTCTTGTCCATTGAGAATCAGAAATTTTTTAATAACCCAACAAGCTTATGTATATAGCAAAATAATAATAAATATAATGCAATATTGAGCCACACAAAATCAACGCAAGGGAGATTCCTTTACTGTGACAGCCCAAATTACGAGGACACACACACACAAAAAAAATGATGTGCATAAGTAACTAATTTATAATAAGTGTGGCAATATTCCATAAAAAAATAAAATAAAAATGAAAATCATCTAAAACAAACTTTTCTTGGGGCTCCTTTGTTCATAAGGCCCATAACCCAACACAGAATTGTGAAGTAAATGCTACAATAACTTAGCATTCATGCACAAACAATGATACTAAGACTACTAACCCCCTTCTCTGACCCATAAGACCACCGGACTGCTGCTGTTGCTGCTGAAGAAGTCTCTTCCGGTTGGGGTCCATCGCGGCTTGAGGCATCCCGGGTCGCATGGGCATGGCTCCACTATAAGACGGACCAGGCATAGGGGAACCCATAGACCCCATGCCCCCCATTGGCATTCCTCGGCTGGGTGGCATACTTGGGCGCTGTGGGTACGATTGCAGGATTTGAGATTTACTACTTTTAACACTCACAAATTCTTAAAGGTAAAGTTTGTCCAAAGTAAAACTTCACCTACATTAGTTAACATGAACGAACAATAAAATAAATTCTTAAGCATTTATTAACCTTAGGTAATTTTAGCATTTACTAATACATTATTAAAATAAAAATTTGCATAATAACATGATTGAATAGACCTGAGCTAACATGAACTAACAATTACAGTTTATTTTTATTTTTAATAAACTAATGTTAAAAAATATTAATACATACTGTTATACATTGCTCATTTTAGTTAATTAATTAACTAACTAACTAACTGGAATATATTGCAAAGTGTTACCAAAATACTGTGGCGGTTCCATATACAGTGATGATATCAAATGGCTTTAAACTTTATTTGGATATATATCATGAGGTAATGGATACCAATATTCATACACGACATTAGTGTGGTAGCCTACCCAACCGCGAAGTAAATATTATAATATTACAATATTAACATACATGGTATTACCATATCTCCGAACTAAATCTTTTTACCATGGTATAACGAAATGGAATAGTATTTACATGGCACTTTTTTTGTTCAAGCCTATAATGTTTGCAAGTAACTTTAGTTATTCAAAGTAAAGCACGCGCGTTTTCTTCGTGGTGGGACTCAAATGCGGAAGTAACGTTAGATGTTTGTTCTTCATGGGCCTCAGCGTTCAGAATGATATTTAAACATTTATTTTAGTATTTCTATTAATAAGCATCATTGTAGATTATTTTCTGACATATTTCATGTCATAAATGTGCCAATGACTGCAAATGAAATGACTCTTCCTCAATTAAGACAGAAGGGAAGACTGAAGCAATGGCGTGATGCTAAACGCAGATAATAAAGAGCGGTTTCTTCACTTACTTGGTGGTACTGGTTCGGAGAACTGCCCATCCCTCTGTAGGGTGAATTCTGTGGCATTGCTGACATTCTCATTGCGCTGCTGTGACCCGAGTTCATAAGGTTCATGCTGTTCATGCTGGGGTTTATTGGGGTAACGTTACTGTGGTTGACGGGGAAACCAGATCTAGAAGCCATTTGTGATTATTTTCACAGCTAATAATAGTTAACAAACTAAATTAAAACCGTTAAACGTACGTTGGAGTCACGCGTAACCACATCTCGTTCAAATATCGATTTATTCCTCCGTCTTTACTTGTCGATCGATGTCCGCTGAATGTGTCATTTCTTCCTATGTCAAAGCCCCATTTAACTTAATGATTTCCTCTCAACAACATTTAGAGCCTGCCACACCAATGTCGACAACAGTTATCAGTGTGTGTGGCTTTTCAGATCTCCGCCCCCTGGGTTGCCAAATAACTTTCCCTCGTAATAAGTTTGAAAGGTGTTTTGAAACTTTTAGATGTTTTTTTTCCTTATTAATTTTTTTTATTGAGGAAATATCAATAGAAACAATAGAAATACAAAACACTTCAAATGCTAGGGGTAGGAACAAAAAATATTAGGCTATAGGAATACTTTAAAGAGTGCTTGTAAAATTCTAGCTTTTTGAGGGCAAAATAACAATAAAATTCTAGCTTTTTAAAGAGTGCTTGTAAAATCGTAGCTTTTTGAGGGCAAAATAGACTCATTGCTTCACTTCCTTTTCAAATGCAAAAAAAAACATGTTTTTGAAAAACATGAAATTTAGCCATCAAAATAAAAAAATAATAAAGTAAGTGCAGTTTTTTTTTTTTCAGGGTTATCTTTTGAGGAAACTTTTAGATGCCTCAGACTATCGGACCCCCAAATGCGTTCATCACCTTGCGACAGACCCCTTCCTAAAATGTAAAGACCGATGGGTTATATTTTAATGTATAAAAACCTATATATATATATATATATATAATTTATTATTATTATTATTAAAATGAAATTGGCTTTAATACACACACACACATATATATATATATATATATATAATATTTTCTTTTATAAATATATATATATATAATATATGTATAAAATTTTCTTTTATAAATATATATATATATATATATATATATATATATATATATAAATGTATAAAATTTTCTTTTATAAATATATACATATATAAATAAATACATATATAATACACAAATATATAATATATATATATATATTATAATATAAAAATATATTATATATATAATTTCTATATAATTTTTAATATACTGTATATAATATACTGTATGTATATATATATATACACATACATACATACATACGTATATATATATATATATATATATATATATATATAATTGTCTTTCTTTTGAGGCCAATAAAACTCACATGAATTTCAACAAAGAGATATAGTTCCAAGATGAATGAACAAGTATATCTGTGTATAATAGACAGAGGTACGTAAAATATATGAAGATATTTTTTTTGCAACTCTTAAAACATTTCTCTCTGTGACTTCAAATTTACTGATACACACGTGTGGCTATTCTCTACAACTACACGTTCCACTGTCACAGGTGTTCAGTAGTTTTGCACCAAAAATATCTCCATAGAAATATAGCCTACTTAAATAAGACCAATTGGGATACTTATACTTTCAAATGCAAAATAAAGACATAATATGAAATGCCAAAAGTGGTTAAATAAACAGAAGTGTTCTAACGTTAGGTCAAGGTGCACTGAACTACCATTTTCCCCAAAAATATATTTGCAAATGGATGTCATTGTATCAGCAGCAGTCTTTAAGTACATTTTTAATAGCATTTTATAACTGAATCTTTTAATTTTTGAATAGTAATTTGAACCGGGACTTTGGGACCATAAAAATAAATACATTTTCACTGAGGGGGGCCTTTGGCAGATGTAACTGTAATCAGTGTTGTAGTACTCGAGACTCGGACTCGGTCTCGAGACCATATTTTAATGGTCTTGGTCTTGTCATAGACTCGTGTCCATTTGGACTCGGAATTGACTCGTACTCGAACATTTTTTACATTTATACCATTTTTTTAGGACTCGGACTTATTCACGAGTCCACTCGAGTTCAATTCAAAATATTTTTCATGATTATTAATGTATGTTAATTAAATATTTCTTTAAATTGATTGACACGCCCAGTGATTGGTGATTTTCTAGTGCGCAACTGCGCATGACAAATTGTAATAAAATTACTTTTAACACCACCTACTATGTGGCCTTTTTACCCTAAACTGACCATATTTTTTAAACTCTAAGTAAATTCAGTAAAATAAAAAAAAGGATTTCTCGAAGTAAATAAAAGTAAATTAGGTAATCAACCCTCACTGGTCTCGGTCTCGACTCGGACTCGACCATCTCTGGTCTCGGACTCGACTTGGACTCGACTCAGACTCGAGTGAGGTGGTCTCGACTACAACACTGACTGTAATATTACACAAGCAAAAGTGTTATTGTTCTGAATATAAACATCCCTTTGATTTAGCAGTGAACAGACGCACAGAGTGATACAAACTATGAAGTTTCACAATGCGTCGAAATCACATACTGAGCTTGAGTACAACATTTGATAACAAACGGACACGCAGTGTTGGACTGCTGGAATGCAGCTCATCCAGTCAATTCTGAGGAACTGAAAATCAGTCTATTCAAGTAGCCAGTTAATATTCCTATTTCTTAACTGCCAATGAAAACCATCATCAAACATTACATCTCAAGGGACGCACAAACTGGAACAATATACGTGAGTGGATCAGTTTTGAAATCACCCAGCTCCAGCTTCACTCTGGGTCATGAGAAATTATTTTAAAAAAATTATCCAATTTCATGTAAAATTTCTTGGTTGTCCGACTGCCTTCAAAACACCCAATAAATATTTAGTGAAATAAATAGTGTAGCACACACATGCTCAGAGTTCTGATTTGTTTTATTACATAGATGACATGCCCATAAGCGTATGGCTCACGGTCAGGATAGCAGCATCTTTCACCTAGTCAAATATATAGTTACAAACAAAGTGACACTTTACACTGTAAACATCTAATACACAACAAAAAAAAAAACATACTGAGAGAAGAAAAACAAATTACAATGATAAAGATATTCTCAAGACTTAATTCTTTCTGGAGATCTATGCCAAACTCTCTTGGTAACCAATAACTTACTATTGAATTATTTTTAATGATAACATGCTATAGAACTAGTGATATAACATTTTGGCTATTGAACTACGGACAAAGGAAACGAATCTACTGGATCATGATTCTCAAAAAAAAAAAATTACATTAAAAAATTGTGTAGTAATTACCTGATGGGGAACAGTTTACACTGATTTATGATCTTGATTTGCAATTAATCATTAACAATGTCATTGTTAACGGATGCGAAATCCTCCCAGAATGAGAAATTATCATGAAAATGTACGAGTTAGAGAGATTCCTGCACCTTATTTATGGGAGAGCTCAACTGGCCCAGCGTTCTAACTTCCTCCCTGAGAGCATCGTGCAAGTTCCTTATCCTAGATGTGCCATTTTTAAGAGACCAGCCATCAAAGCTGCATGAACAGGATATGAGAGATTGTGCAAAACTTTCTGAATACGAAAAAAAAACAAAAACGAATGTAAACTGAATGGCATAAGAATTAGTCCACATCTCCTCCACTGATCAGCATAACTCGGCTCACGCCATCCTGTGATAAGGTAAACCGTGCGGCACTGTGGTTATGAGTGACTCCTGCAACCCACAGTGTTATCGAGAGAATGTCTCGTCTCTAAGCAAAACGCACCAACTGTCCTGAATCTCCACACGCCGCTTGGGTCCCAGCAAAGCTTTAAGAAATTATTCATCAGACAGTTAATTATAATATCTTTTTGTCACTGATTAAAGACTGTATCACTCACAACATTTTTCAACTAGCATGTAAAGCCTTGCTCGCATGCTAAATGCACCGTAAGGGCCTGTTTTTTGCATTGCACAGCGCTGCAATTCTATTGGTTTCATTGTAAAGTAGCTAGACGGATGTGTTCGATTGTTGCGCTCGTGTGTTTCGCAGAGTCACGTGCATGACACGGCCTTCTAAAACCACTGTGCTTTAGGGAAAAAAAAGAAAGAAGAAAAAAAAAAAAGTGTACTTGCATGTTTTTTTTTTTTTTCATTCCGTTTTTCGACAAAAACAGGCCCAAATTTACTTCAAGCAAGATTGAAGAAAGCTGAACTTGTGATATGTGTATCAACAAAAATCAGGCCAAAACAAAGTTCGTTTTGGGAGTCGAAACAGCATTGCAAAGCGAACTTTCCAGAAAACTTTGCTCCAGTTGGTAAATCCCTTCGAAACTACTGTCTTGTCCATGGCGATTACGTAATGGTAGGTGTGGCTCTGAGGCTCCGCCTTCTTTGATGTGGAAATCTTCTCCACTTCCTTTTTTCTGTTCAGTCTGTTGAAAACACACTGGAAAGTTGTAATTCTAATTGAAAGTGCCACTTATTTTCTCATGTCTAATAATGTCAATCAGCTTGCTAGCAATCTATTGTAAAAAAGCAAACGTATCCGCATCGCTATCAGATACTTTAACTGTTGTTTTCTCACCGCTGTCATTTTTGTTTTGTTTCTTTTTCTATTGACGTAAATGCATATTAACATTCTTCTAATTGCTGCTCTCAGTAGTATGGGCGGCATCGGGATGTTAGCTAAGGCCGCGTGTCCACCAAAGCGCATTTCCACGTGCCTGGCGTATGTTTTCAATTGTTTCCAATGGGAGCGCCGCGTTTTTTAAATGCCATGAGTGTAACAAGGCGCTGAGAGTTGAAAAATGTTCAACTTTGGATAAAATCATAGACTGTAAAAAATATGGACAAAGCGTCTGTGACGTCACCCATACACTCTCTGAAGAACGGGTTTGAGGCTGTTTATGGGGGGTATGGGCAGCGCCATACTGGAAAATCTTGGGAAATACAAAATACAAAAGTTTCAGAAAGGATACAGAGGTGGTATGATGTGTTGTGTCAGATCGTTCGCTCGGCGCAGCTGTCAAAGTTAACCACCCTTATTTGTCATACATTTTATATCTAAATATGATCTGAACTAACAAGTTAGAAAAAAATTCACCCCCCTCACAGTTGTCAGGCACGCGGAACATATTGAAGATTATAATAAGTCCATAGGACCAAACTGTAAACATGTGAATTTACGCTGTGAAAACGCATATTTTAACATGACGTCTATGGATATTTGCTCCCTTTTGGGACCGGCCTCTAGTGGATTTGAGATGCATTGCAGTTTTTCGCACTTCCGGGTAGGCTTCATCTTTCAGATTAGAATGTTGCCGCTTGGATAAAACGCAACGCTCATCACTGTCACTTCTTACCCAGCCGTCCAATCCCAGTGGATGAGGGGCGGGACTAAACCACACTCACCAACTTTCACAACATTCTTTCTGTACAACGATCAACCAGCAGAGCTAACCGAACAAAATGGGTGAAAATCCATTTTTAGTATGAAACAAATTATCTGCGAAATCAGTAACAAGTAAACTGTGCTGAGGATAGGGAAATGAACATTTTGGCCAATACCGATAATTCTTTATATTTGAAAGCCGATATATCGGCCGATAAATCTAAATCCAATTTTTATATAATTTTTGAAAGCCTGATTGCAAAAACAAAAGTCTCACAATTAAAATCTGTCCCCTAACACAATTAAAATGTTCTCATTATAATTTCATGTAGCCGATATGACAGCACATTTTGCACTTAACTATATTTTCCTTTTTGATTCCAATCATATTTCAAGCAATTAAGATCAATCATGTTGAACAGTGCGCATCTTAAGTGTCTCAGGTGTCAAGTGTATGAAGGAAATAATTCATTATTTATCAGCTTTAATATATCAGCCAAATTTTCTTATCGGGCCGATAAGGATAACATAAAAATGAGCAAATATCGGCCGATACCGATATGGTGGCCGATATATCGTGCACCCCTAACTGCGGATATTCTGTATCATAGCAACGAAACGTCTCAACAGAAAAAACACTGCCCTGCCAAAACGCTCTCAAGCGCCCAAAGCACGCCGTCTTCAGTAGAGTGTCTGGCTAAAAACGCTTTGGTGGACAAACGGCCAAATAGTTTATTGCTGCAAAAATATTACAAACTTAAAAGCAAAGAATAAAAAGAAAACTTCGCCGTGACAATATCGAGGCCTGAATACTTGATATACTGTTAATATACAATCAGATTTCACCCAATCGTTTTGTTTTGGATGGAAGTGCACCTACTTACCATTTTTATGTTTCATGGATTTGGATCTTCTTGGTGAATTTGGATTCTGTACAGAAAAAAAGGACATCAAACATTAGCCTGCGGCCAGGATATGCAAATGAAAGCAATGAGAAAGCAAACTGTAAGAGAAAGATTCAGGCAACAGTACGCTACACTCCAGCACTGATTAGAAAGATAATGGGTCCTATTTTAGCGATCTAAGCACATGGTCTCAAGCGCGGCGCAAGTGCACTTTGAGCGGGTCCGAATCCACTTTTGCTAGTTTTAACAGAAGAAAAAAAAATGGATGGTCTAAAAGGGTTGTCCTTATTCTCTTATTGAGTAACGAGTGTGTTTTGGGTGTAACGTGCAATAAACCAATCAGAGTCTCATCTCTAATTCTCATTAAACGCCAGCTGCGCTCACCCCATGGCGGATTGCTATTTACAAGGCGGAATTTGCAAACGGGAAAAACTGAACACTTCTCTAGCGAGAAAACGGATCTGCGAGCGAGCAGACCATCTACGGGACAAAGTGTACACGCGTTGTTGGATCAGCCTATAGGCGTGTATAACTAACTCGCTCTTTATATAACAAAAAAAATTATTGCAGCATTGACTTCAGACCAGGTTTCAATTGATCAATGCTAGAATATTTGTTTGTTATTAAAAGAGCAAGTTAGTATATACGAATATTTGCTATGTAAACAACATGGGTTGTGAAAATGTTAACTGCGTCGGGCTGAAACTAACAAAAAACACTTGCGTCGCACCTGGCTTAGAGCACCAGAATGGTAAAAGACCATCTAAGAGCAGAAAAAAAACACATCCGTAACAGTAAAACAAACTTACCAAGAGTACAGGTTGTTTCAAAGAATGTAAAAATACCTTATCTGACTTTCTCTTCTTGGCTGAAAAGAAAAATATTGTAATATGTTAAAATGCAAAAACACGCAGAGATATTGATAAATAGTTGCAGTTACTATTTATGCGATGAAGTCCTTCGAGTGGTTTAGCAAAAATCCAGAACATTCCCAAGAATGGTATAACAGTCTCACCTTTCTTTTCTGCCCCATAAGACCAGTCATTGTCGTTGACATCATCATTGTCTTCTTGATCGCTCTCTGATTTGTTCGTGTTGTTGCCGCTTGCAATTCTAAATATACATTTATACTCACATTACCCTCACATGTTCCAAAAGTGCAGTCACATGACCAGTGTCATCAATAAGACAAGCACAATCCTGTATGTACATTTGCCTAGAGTTCAGGGCCCGTATCCCTAAAGAATTTTTGTGCAAAATCCTCAGAGTCATGACGTTTTCTTCGAATTTCCCCTAAAAGTGACACGAAAATCCCAGTTAATATAAAAGCTATTCCTCAAGATTCCTAGTGTTTAAAAGGGCTCCTAAGGCGAGAGCTGCTAAGAGCAGGGAAGAGGACTTTTAGTGGCTTAGGAGTTCCCCTAAGCAGCTGCACAAAATGGCCATTCTCCATTTTCTGTGTTTGTAGGATATTTGTTAACAAGCCTTCATAAATAGACCAGCCAGCAATCACAGACATTGATAAAAGCTGAGCCGTGATACCCTCGTTGAGACCACACCGAGTTGTAACTAGGGCTGGGCGATATATCGAATATGTACGATGTATCGTTATATTTTTTGAAACGATATGGAATGAGGCAATACCGTTTATATCGATACAGTAGTTTGATATGAGCACATCTGAAAAATAGCGGAGGTTGCAGTGTGAGCTGCTGCAGTGAAAGTAGCTAGGCTACGTAGTACAATTTGTCCTAAACATGACACAAGCTTATATTAATTGCGTCAAAATCACTTTGATATAGTTAACAAGTTTAAGGCAGCTTGCCGCCCTGTCAAATGCTCTGACAGACACTGTTGCTGACTGACAGATATACTTGCGCTGTTTAATGCGTTTGAGATGTGGTGCTTTCCTCAGTGCTTAACTTACATTTCACATATTCTCCATCTGTAAATGTTAGAAAGTAAAGCAAATATGTCCATTTCACAACAAATATGTCCATGTCAGAAGAGGACGAGCTTCTGCAAATGAATCTCCGCTAAAATTCATGCTTCCTTGAACGAGCGCCGGCGCGCATGCGCGTGAATAGTACTACGTAGTACGCAATAATTCTGACTAAAATAAACATTAACATATTGCTAAAATATTTGTTGTTGGAGAAAATAAATGTGCCATATGTGGAATTTTAAACCTACAAGTATATATTTTTAATGAAAGTGAAAGTGATTATAATGGGGTAATCAAATGCAGGCTAATATAATTAGTTTGTGCTTTTGTTTTTGTTTTCATTTTTAGTTTAGCTTTTAGTCAATATAAAAACAAAAGCTTTTTGCACATAATATATTGCATAGCCTATATTATATTTGTTTCCATATCCTTCAACATCAACATTGTTTGTAGGATATCATTGGGCCGAATGTGAATATACTGTGTATATATATATATATATATATTTAATATAAAGATTTTCTTTATCTAAATAGAAAACGTAGAAAGTACCGAGATATATATCGTATATCGCCATTTGACCAAAAAATATCGAGATATGATTTTTTGGCCATATCGCCCAGCCCTAGTTGTAACGTTGCAATTTCTAGTTCATTAAGGACAGCCCCTTGAGATAGGCCATCTTGTTTTCAATGGGGTCCATATGGGAGTGAAAGTACAAAATATGCCAGCTAGGATATTAATATGAGCAAATAAGACAACTCATTATTTGAACAGGGCGTAATGAGCTTAAGTTTTCACATATTTTAGGTTCTAATGTTAGGCTATAACCCCGACAGCTTACTATTCATTTTCCAGATATTTTCTTGAATGTGAAATATTATTTAAAATTACAGTCTGCATAAGATTAGAGTGTATAATTATGTTTATTGATTTGAGGGTACATCCTTTGCTCATTATCACCAAAAGTTCATTTTCATCAAACTTGTAGGATCAACCAATCACGGCTTTTGAAATGATGACTCATACCTAGCAACGGGGTCAACCACACCTCCTCACTAAGATAGGATTCTCCATCCATTACTTGCTCAGAGTTCATTGAAAATGTTCTGGAATCACTTCTAAGCTAAAACTCCTGGCAAGGAATTTCTAGATTAAGTTAGGAGCTCTCTGAGAGGATTCTCAGAATCGTTAGAGATACGGGCCCAGGTGGCATCTACAGTTTCTTGTGGGTCATAATACCTGCGGTTGGCGATGCGACTGCTGTTGCGGCCCATGCCGAGGCATTTCTCCAGGTGAGGAGCAAAGCGTGAGGCGGCGATGCTCCGGCTGCAGTTGGGACACACGCATTCTTTGTTTTTCCACTGGTTGTACACTTGCCCGAAAATGTCTACGCCAGGCTGGTCCACGATTTCTACAAGAGACAATGAAACATGAGTTTCAGGTGGATTTTCAGTTAATGACAGCTTAAATTTGGGTTTGTTCCTCAAAATACCACATATATCAAGTCAGCTCACTCACTGACATTAAAATAAATGGGAAAAAAGCTGCGTTCACACCATGCCATACTTACAGTAACGATTCTGACCGTAAAAATGGTGGAGTGGGCAGGGAATAAGAAAAAAATATTGCTGTGAGGGGATGTTATTTTGATTAAAGATTATTATACAAATAATGATGTCCACGAATACATCTTTTATAATAAATTAGTGCTGTCAAATGATTAAAATATTTAATCGCGATTAATCGCATTAATGTCAGTTAACTCGCGATTAATCGCACATTTTTATCTATTCTAAATGTCTCTTGATTTCTTTTTGTCCCATTATTTTTTCTCATTTTAATGCCTTTATCAACATGGAAAAGTGGATCGGCTTGCTTTGTGCAAATGTTTTTTATTGAAAACAACATTGGCATACTGTGTTTGATTTCACACTAACATTCTCACTTGGAGCAAATAATCTCTCAATGTAACACTGTCCATCAATAAAAGGGGGAAAGAAATACTGACGAGGTCCTGATATTGACGAGGGGGTGGAGAATTCGCATCAGCTGTGTGTGTGTGCTTAGCCATCATCAAGTGGTATTTCAGACTGGACGTGCTGCGATGATGATAGCTCAGTTCACAATGACAAAACACACAGATCACTTTGGTCTTGTCAGTGGAACCATTTGGCAACTTTTTAAAAGTAAACTTTCCATTCAGAATCTTATTAGCATCCATTTCGGCATCTCACGCTCATCATCCACTCAAAACGTAACGTTATTCTACTATTTGGCTGGCTCGCAAGCCCAAACGCGTGTGTGTGGCGTGCCTGTTTTGTTTATGGTCTAGCTAGATCCGCTTGCACTTTGGTCGGCGAAGCAAAAAAACCTCTTCGCGCAGCGCAAGCTATTGAAATGAATGGGTTTCATAGCAGAGCATGCGCATGCCGCATCCAGTTGCAAAAGCACATGAAAGAAAACTACAAAGTTTGCTAGGCCAAAAAGACCGTTAATCACGCAATAAAATAATTGACGCCGTTAAAATGGGTTTGCGTTAATGTCGCTAATAACGCGTTTAACCGACAGCCCTAAAATAAATATGGCAACATTCCATAAAACAAAAATTGTCAATTTTGCCTTCATGGCGACTTTAAAATGTTTAAAGGGATACTCCACTTTTTTTTGGAAATAGGCTCATTTTACGAGTCCCCCAAAGTTAAACTGTTGAGTTTTACCGTTTTTGTATCCATTCAGCCGATCTCTGGTTCTGGCGGTACCACTTTTAGCATAGCTTAGCATACATCATTGATGTGGACAAGACCATTAGCATTTCTCAAATACATTTGATATTTTTCCCCATTTAAAACTTGACTCTTCTGTAATTGCATCGTGCACTAAGACCGACGGAAAATGTAACGTTGTGATTTTCTAGGCTGATAGGGCTAGGAACTATACTCTCATTCCTGCGTAACAATCAAGAAACTTCACTGTCGTACCATGAGTGCAGCAGGCGGAATGATATGACGCAGCACCTGAAAATAGTCCCCAGCTCGGTATTAATAATAATAATAATAATAATAAGTGTAAAAAAAAATAATAATAAAAAAAGTGGAGTATAGTTCATATCAAATGTTGTTGCTGATATGAAGTTTTATTTACATTTTAATTGAGCAAGCAGTTTTTGAGCTTTTGGCATTTCCCCATTCAAGAAGATAGGAGTTAGTCTTGCATGCTTGAAATAGCATCCTGGGGACATTGCAAATGGCCAATGAGTGAACTGATTTTTCTTAAAAGGGACTTTGGTTGTATGAATTTAGATGTCTTGGATTATAGTGCAAATCATGAATTTTGCTGTTTGGAGCTTGAGAGTGCTTTAACATTTGGCTCGATTTCTCTGTCAGAACCAGAGTTTGATCGCCCTCTCCTTTCTGGATTGTGTCATTCTGGATTTTTCATTTGCAACAAAGTGGCAATTGTTTACCCCTGTTGACAGGTAAGTACAACATACAATGCGTTAAACTGCATAACGTTCTTCACCTCAACTCAAACCTTAGGTTTTGGCAACACTATAGCTATATTCTAAAAAACGAGCTTTCCGTTTCTGCAGAAGGCGAACATGAGATACACATTCTCTCTGCTTGCAGTGCGTCAATATCCCACTTTTCAGAAAAGTGATTGAGAGCACACACAAAAATACAGTTTTACAGAATCATACTTCATCAATTGTGGTTCTCTTTTTAAAGTGGACTTGGGCATGTTACACAAATAGACCCGGGTGTACACCAAAAAAGCTAGTCTGAAAGCACCCTGACAGCGCAGATCCAATTCACTCGTCATATGGAAAAATTGAAGCTCTTTTGGGGTTTCAAAGACGAAAAGAAAGTGATGGGTTCACTTCAGAATGACACAAATTTTCTTTTTTGGGCAAACTATTCCTTTACAGCACCCTCCTGACAGATCTGAACCATCACGTCTTAAGGTGCGGTCCCATTTATAGATGTTCATGAGTTTTCATGGGCACAATCTAGCTCTCAATTGGAATCTACAAGATTTCCGCATGCAGATTTTTGCATCGGGTTCAGGTTGGTCACTCGAATCGATGCCGTTGACCAACAAAAAGCTGCCTAGGCGAAAGTGTATTTTGTTTAATGGACCTTTTTGCCTGTGGAATCAAAATGAATATTTTTAACCATTTTAGTGAAATGACCATACATGACTCTGCTCAAATCAGTAGATATGTTGCAAACTTAAAAGCATAGTTCCCCAAAATGGAAAATTCTGTCATTAATTTCTCACCCTCATGTCTTTTCAAACCCGTAAGAATTGCGTTCAACTTCGGCGGAACACAAATGAAGATCCTTTTGATTAAATCTGAGGGCTTTCTGTCCCTCCAGACTTCAAAAAGTTCATAAAGCGATCGTAAAACTAATCCATATGAATTGAGTGGTTTAAGTCCAAATTTTCTGAAGAGACTTGATCGCTTTATGTGATGAAATCTGTTTAATTAAGGCTTTTATCTGCATTTAAACATTCATAAACTCGCACATCTGTTGTGGTAAACGGAAACTCAAGCATGTGCGCTTGACCTGCGAGAACCAATGAGGTTCATATTCTTGTGTTACGCAGGCTCAGTCGAGCTTCTGTTTATGATCGCTGATCAAAGTTTAAATCTTAATAGAGTGAGTCCTAAATTAAATCTGTTCATCATTTAAAATAAATCGTTTTACTTTACTCTTTATGAACTTTTTGAACCTTCAAAGTGGTAGTTGCGTAGCTGTCTAGGCAGAGTACACAGAGCTCTCAGATTTCATTTTTTAATGCACAACAGTTGATTGCCATAATCAAGAAACGTGTCAGAGTCTCACCAAAGTCTTTCATACTCTCCTGGTCTGTATCGTCCAGGAAAAAGTATCCCTGTTTGACAGCCCTGTGAACTTCAAAACAAAGACCTAAACAGGCATCTTCCACCAGGTCAGACAGGATCTCTTGAGCAAATCCCTGTGGGTGAAGGCGCGACACATGCAAGCATTATTGCGCTTGAATCACATTCAGAAAGATTAACATCACACTGGAGTGGACACAGCTGGGAAAACCAATGAAATGAGTGTGAAATGTATATCATGAGAGACAAGCTTCATGACACACCCGCATAAGCTTTTGTTTATTCAACACTGATCCAATTAAGCAGAATATAACATGTAAAAACAAAGGCTCACCTCCATCTTACTGTTGTCCATACTGGACAGAGACACGTCCTCCATTTTCATTTGCAAAAGCTCCAGGAGAAAGCACTGCTGTCTACATGCTGTAGTGCAGCAGTCATGGGCTGAGGAGAGGCTGAAACAACAACCACCAAGACAAAGGAAGACAAACACAGACACAGGCAGGGAATGAGACAGCAATATATGATCACGGATGCAATTATAGAAGCATAAAAACAAAAGTCCTCACCGTGTATTTATGTATGTACTTATAATGTTATGAACAATGGGATATAGTACGACACACACCGCTGTAAAAAAAAAAAAAAAAACCTGCTAGAAGAATGAGCGACTCTCAATGCATTGCCTTGAATAAGAGCCGTTTATACTGCATACTGCAAACATCCACTTATCAAATCGCAATGATTAACGCAGTTTCGTATTAACAAAGGAAACATGCATATAACATTTTTGGCAATCGATGATTGATCTCGATAACACGTAAGTTACTTAACGTTATCCCATTTCGCCTTCGTTCGCCTTGACTGAAAATACAGGTTCAGAAGCTTCCAACACTAGATTAACTAAAATGCTGTAATGATAAAATATAATAAGTCATATTAAGTGAAAAGGGATATTTAAAAAACTATATATTATTATAAAAATGTTTACTGGGTGCGATTTACGTCCATTGGCTTGGATAGCCGCCCTAACTTACTGACTGACTTGAATTTGAGTCGTAAGAGGTTAGACTTCATTCTGATTACGAAAATCCCTACTTACTGTCGTGTGATCTCTATTGTTTATCTGTATCATATGGACATTACTGTCTGTCACTCACCAGCTCTGGAATGGAGGCTGTTGCTGTTGTCGGTCTGTTCACTCCACTGACTGAAGCCGCTCATCTGATCAAAACAATAGTGAAATCTGTATCTACAAGGTCTTTGGCCCATTAATGTTATGCGCATGAAAGGGAACATGTACAAAAGGTCCAACGACACATTTCCCTTATATTATTTCCTCAGTGACAAAACAAAGTTCCACATTCAGCGTTCAATCTCTTATCCCCGTCCGCAGACTTCCATTTCCCTTTACCCAGACCTGACCAATCGATACTCGTGGATCGTATGCTGCTGAAATCAAATGTCTCACCGTAACCGCTGAATCGTCTAGCCAGGTCTGAGAAAATGAAAATTTCGAATTAAACGAAAGTTCTTACTTATCTTGTCGTATCTATTAATCAAAATTAATAAAGTTGAACTGAAATTCAAATGAAAACGGAAAGCATAACTAAATTAAATATTAAAGTCCTCCTGTAGTCAATAATTGTATTCTTTTAAACGAATCTCTGATAACCAAAATTACATATTACAACGGGTTTTTAAAAAAAATAAAAAAATAATAATAATAAAATTCTTTCGTGCCTTGAACTAGCACGACCTAGGGTTGCATTGTGTATTGTTTTTTTTGAATACCTGCTAGTGATTTATCTACAGTAGCCTATTATATGCTGACATAGACATATACACTAGACCTCACCTTGGCTACGGCAGTTCATTGGAACGAATGCGTCAATAGAGCCGCCATCTTGAAACAGGGGAGCCCCTCCACTTTAATGCATCTGCGTCAATGTAGTAGACACAGGTCTAACGGAAATAAAATCACCATAAATCATCATGAATGCGATTTTTCTTGTTTTTTTGGTTCGTTCCAACGGTCAGACATGTATTTATCATTGATTACAGAAAGAATTTTTTATTTACTATTTTTTTTAAAAAAACATTCTTCCTAGTTCAGATTTCATCCGTGAACATCATACGCTGCACAAACGTCTGCCACCATCAATGAATTCGAAGTAAAAGCAGAGATAGCATCGTTACCTAGCTACTTCCTATGACAAGACCCCTGTTCCAAGATGGCGGCAGTTTCAACGCATGCTTAGAACCCCAAGGTGAGGTCTAGTGTCTAGTGCTCTACCAAAATTACAATGGTTCTTACAACCATAGCTGCTCAAAGTTGTGGTATTTTCAATAAAAAATAAAAAAAAAATCATTGTTTGTTAGTGTGAGTGATAACCTCATCTGAATTGTTAACCATTCAAAGATGGCGGCTGCGTTGACATGTGGCAACTAACTATAGGCTCCAATATGTTACAACATTCTGTTGATAGTGAAGAAAACAGCAAAACAACAAACTATTAAGGCCACATTATGTTTTTATTCCAAATATGCCACTGTTATGGATTTTTTTTTTTTTTGCCTATTACACAGAAAGGAAATATGCTTGTACGTGTTCTTTGATGTAGATCTATCTGACAGCATAACATACAAGCATTTAAGAAATACACTGCAGGTCAAAATTCTGGAATAATTAAGATTTTAGTTTTTAAAAGATCATTATTAGCCCAATGACATCTAGACCAGTAATATATTGGGTAAAGCAAATCTTCTCCAATAAGACAAAGTATTTGCAAAAAAAAAAAAAAAAAAAAAAAAAAAATCTCAAATGTGGAATTTGATGGTCCTATGTGCAGTTTAAAGACCTTCATAATGCAGTACTTACTGAATATTAGTGCAAAAGTTATAAAAGGCACTTGTATATTTAAATGATGCCATCTTGTAAGAACTGTATTAGACCAATATAATATCAATTTACTGACAGAAAAACCACACACAGCAGTAAAATTAACATAATTCATAATTTTGTCAAATTTTTCATGTGCTGGCTGCACTTAAAAAAAAAAACAAAAAAAAACAAGTTTGGTTGCAGGAAAAGGATCTATAGTGGCATCTGAGATTCAGAATACACATCCGTTCCTGGCTCCTCTTCAAATGTGGCCTTGGAATCATCACCGTCAAGCTATATTGAAGATACAAAGTACAATGAATTATTATGGAAAGGTCACTATGACTTGGAATATAGCATGTATGTCAAGTAGACTACTGCTAGGCTAGTCATTGTGCCACTTACACATTTGATCTCTTCCTCAGTGAAAAGTCGTCCAGTCATGAGCATGCGCAGAGGGATGGTGAGTATCAGGATGAACGGTAGAGCCAGTGACAGAGGGCTCGATTTCACCATCCACAGGACTGCCAGACACACGATCTGGATCGCAGTGAACACGTGCATCCTACTGGTGCTGACCTGCAGAGGGAGACAGAGACCACATGCATAAGGCAACCCAACGTGAGAATATAGCATTTACAAGAACTTTGATAGCACAGACATACTCTCGTAACATAGGGTTCATCAGGGTGATATTTTTTGGGAATAAGGAGGAGCAGAATTCGATCCCAAAGCTGAATCCCACTGAGGGATGTGATTCCCATGTAGAGGAAGATTCCAAACAGAGCCGTAATGGGAATCATTTTTAGAATGGGCTCCATGAGGATTGAAAGACCTGCAAACGAACACACAGAGAAGATGTTGTTCATGTATCTCTAGGAAGCATACAGTAAGAACCAGGTTTAGAAGAATGTCAACATACCAACAAGCAAAGCCACTACCACTCCACTGACTCTCTGTTCCAGAACCTTCTCAATCTCAGGTTTTGGGCCCTTGCTCATGACAGTCAGGGCATTGGCATGAGATACGGATCGTACGGTTGCGGCACTCAACCAAGGAACACCAAATATGGCACCCAGACCCCCCATGCTCACCAGGATGAGAAGATCCATGTGGAAGCCAGAACCTTTGACCATTTTTCTCTCCGGTTTACTCACAATTAGCCTTGAAAAATGAGAGACAAGTGAAAAGATCAGTTTATAAATAAATTAGCATTGCAAGTCATTATCCAGAGAGATTGAAAGCATTAGTAGAATATTTCATCTCCAATCTAGCAAGGGAAATCACACTAACCCAACCAGTCACTTACACTTTCTGTCACACTGTGTGTAATACTGCTCCAAACACTCTAAAAAAAAATGCTGGGTTATTTCAACCCAAATTTGGATCAAATATTGACAAACCCAGTAATTGGGTTAATATTTTAAAGGGTGGTCGGAGCCCGACTCTGGCAATATTTGAAAAATGCTGAAAAAGTGGGCAGACCCCAGTGGAGATAGAGGGGAGTGATGAAATAGATGCTAAAACACTCTATGCTGATCGTTTTCAATACTTGAAATTCCAACTCCTGACGATACGATACGATACGATATGTAGCGCTACAGTGGTTTTGACGAAACCAGCTGGTTTTTATACTGCCAAGGGCGTAGCTCGTACCAAGAGCGTGGTGAGCTGAAACCTGCGTACGTCACGAAGTGCGGAACATCCAATAGGAAAATTCAACTGCAGTAGCATCGTTCAACCTGAAGAGGGCAGCACTAAGACGTGTTTACACCATATATTGTAGAAATAAAACACTTTATACACAAATGTCAAAAAAGTTACTCGAATCAATGACTGGTATTAATAAAGATCCATTCTTACAGATCATTAACTAAAAAAAGTTGGTTTAGGGTTTAGTTACTCTTTAAATTACATTTTTAACCCAAAGTTTGGGTTTGTCCATATTTTACCCAAAATTGTGTTAAAACAACCCAGCATTTTTAGAGTGTATAACTGTATATTTTACTTTATGTTGCACTCTTAAAATAAAGGTTCCAAACAGGGGTTTTCGCCATGATGCCATAGAAGAACCATTCTGGGAACCCCAAAGATCCCCTTTCTGTGAACATTTATTTCTAAATAGTTATAAATCACGTTTTAATGTTGTTTATATGTCTATGTACGTAGTGTTTTTAATATGTTTTAAATTCATGTCAACACCATGACTGAGTTAGCCTGGTTAAAACTAGATATGGTCTGGCAAAGCGTCATAGACAAATCATTTCCAGAGGGGCGTCACCAATGGACGTCGTGGGTAGACCTAAACCAATCAGAGCGATGACGGAGATGACGTATGCAGAGCGGTGGCTGGCGGAGAAACATCTCTTTGCTCGGTTTTTAACAAAAAGGAAACGTTCAAATCGCTCAAAACAGCATTCATATAAATTTTTTATCTTACAGTTAAAAAGAGATTTTTACAGAAATTTCAGATTTTTTTTTTTTTTTTTTTGCAACCGCACAAGAGATCACTTCTGCTGCTTTCCGGCACTTGCGCAGACCAAAGCACCTGTGCCTTCAGATCACTTGGATGTGGCTGTGGTTACAAAAACGATATAAATACTGTTTGTTTTCTCACACAAACCGCTCGTTTCATGTCTTAGGCCATCAATGTGTACTTACATTTACGAGTCATTAAATCATGTTTAATTTGGACTTCTCTGTGCATGCTCTTTGAGGTGGTGACCATAGACCTGCATTATATGACTGACAGACAAGAATGACCTAAAAAATATCAAAATTGAAAACACTGTGGAAAACAAAGACACCAACATCTTGGATGCCTTTGAGGTAAGATAAAACATATTAAAAATTAATTTCAATGTGAACTAAACTGTATTTCCACTTGCCATTGTGCTTCATTTACTACACGAAAGTTAACAGTGTTTTAGGCAGGTAGAGCTCATGTGATTGAGGCAGGGACCAATTTACATATTCACACTAAATGAAGTATACTAAATGACATTCAAGCTATTTTAAGGGATGAAGAATTTTTTTAACAGGAAAAAAAACGTTTAAATATGTCTTTTGATGAGTTTTAAGGGATACCATTATTGACTACAGGGGGACTTCAAGTTATATCCAATCCATACACTCTGCACTTATACTATGCACTATGTTTAGTGTATGAATAGTTATTTTGCCTTTCAAGATCAAAGCCTGACAGCACTTACCCACTTAATGTTTTTCCAGTTACCATAATTAAAGGGATAGTTCACTTTGAAATTAATTTTTGATATGTTTTATCTTACCTTAAGGGCATCCAAGATGTAGGTGTCTTTGTTTCCACAGTATTTTCAATTTTTACATTTTTCAGTCAAACCGGTGTTGTCCATCAGTCATACACTGGAGGCTAATGGGGTTCACCAAATAGCATGCACAGAGAAGTCAAAATTAAACATAATGTAAGTACACATTGATGGCCTAAGACACGAAACGAGCGGTTTGCGTGAGAAAATGAACAGTATATTTATATAGTTTTTGTAATCATAGCCATTACAAAATGATCTGACGGCACGGGCGCTTCGGTCTGCGCCGGAAGTGATCGCTTGCGTGCCTACGTCACTCTTTGTTTATACAGAGATTTCGGAAGTTTTACCTTTCACTAAACATATTTAGATATACAGGAAACCACAATGGAAGACGATTTCGGTATATCTAAATATGTTAAAGGTAAACTTCTGAAATCTCCGTGTAAATATTGAGTGACGTCACACGCAAGCGATCACTTCCGGCGTAACATTGAACGGATTCAGTTCGGTTCAGTTGGACATTGAACAACTGATTCAGATCACTTGGACGTCACTGTGATTACACGAGGTAAAAACGATATAAATACTGTTCGTTTTCTCACAAAAACCGCTCGTTTCGTGTCTTAGGTCATCAATGTGTACTTACATTTACGAGTCATTAAATCATGTTTAATTTGGACTTCTCTGTGCATGCTCTTTGGTGGATCCCCTTAGCCTCCAGTGTATGACTGATAGACAACAACGGTTTGACTGAAAAATGTCAAAATTGAAAATACTGTGGAAACAAAGACACCTACATCTTGGATGCCCTTGAGGTAAGCTAAAACATATCAAAAATTAATTTCAAAGTGAACTATCCCTTTAAGTGCATCATTCAGGTTTTTAAAGTGCACTTTTTCTTTTTCTTCATTGTTCTCTAAGATTGTTTTTTTCCACTATAAAGAACATTTTGTGCAATGGGAAGACTCCATGGATGTTAATTATTCTTCATGGAACATCAATGCTAATAAAGAACCTTTATTTTTTTTAGAGTATGTGCAGCATTTGGACAGAAAATTTGTTGAAGCCTAATCCTGTCAGTTAATGAATTGTGCAAGAAATTAATTGAACCAAATCCCCTTCCTTCATCAAACATTACTCACGTGGTGATCTGAGACTCAAGGAAGATGAGGATGAAGACCAACATAGCTGGAACAACAGAGGCGAACATCATCCACACAGGGAAGGGCTTGTGTTCACCCATAGGGTTGATTATCCAGCCCCGCATCTTAGGGTTGGACACCTGAAGACCCTTAGGCACCACCAGTTTCTGTAACACAAGTAAAAGGTCAGAGGTCAAGACAGTAACTTTACAGGATTGGATCTGAATTGGTGCCCTAAAAGTGTTATCTATCTATAAAGGCAGCCAATGCCCATCAGAAACCTAAAAAATAAGGAATCTACTTATGATCTAAAATGAAAATTAGAATTGACCCTTCGCTAGTTACTGTTGCTACGCCTGTCAAGCTTTCGTGGCTGGCACATCTACAGTATTACAGTGTATGTATGCACTGGTGTCAGACATTCCCAATGAGATAATTAGTCATTTTTGGCGAACATGTGAAATATCTGAGAGAGCAAGACAAAAGGGACTGCAGTATACCAATCGAGGGATATATCCACGACACAATATGCAACCGATTAGATGATTTGTTAAAAATTGAAGCTCTAAAGCCTATAGTCCCAGCGCAAGCAGCAACGCCTCATATGCTGACCATTCAAATGGGAAAAACACAAATTGAGGAACAGCTATGTTCGTGCACAGCAGGGTGAGTGAAATGTGAAAATAATCCTAATAATTACAAATCAAACAGCTTATCCATAAATCTTGTGGAATAACACTAACACCGGGAGAGCCGCGATCGGATTGGGTTAAAGTTACTTAGTCAGGGGTAGTAGGCCGTCGATTAACAAAATGCCAAAATATATTTGAAAGTATGTCAGTGAGCCTCCGTCTTGTCTTTAAAGGGTTAGTTCACCCAAAAATGAAAATTCTGTCAGTATTTACTCACCCTCATGTTGTTCCAACCCCGTAAGACCTTCGTTCATCTTCGGAACACAAATTAAGATATTTAAGATATTAAGATCACTCCTGCATACTAGTCCATAGGCTTCTTGAGGGACTGGCTCTTGCTGTCCTCGAAAAGTCATTAAAGACATCGTTAAAATAGTCCAAGTGACTACAGGGGCTCAATCTTAAGTTTATCAAACGACGAGAACACTTTTGTGCGCAAAAAAACAACAAAAATAACGACTTTATTTCAACTATTCGTTTATTTCTCCCTCTGCGCGAGTCAGGTTACTAGTTTAATAGAGTAAGCTTCTGTTATTGTACGTCACACGCATCACACACACATGACCAGCGTCGGCCAATAGTGAGCCTACGTGTGACGTAGCTTTACGCAATCACACTACGTTAACTGACTTACAGGCTCATGGAGAAGGAAGTGAATAGTTGAAATAAAGTCGTTATTTTTGTTGTTTTTTTGCGCACAAAAGTGTTCTCGTCGTTTGATAAACTTAAGATTGAGCCCCTGTAGTCACTTGGACTATTTTAACGATGTCTTTAATGACTTTTCAGGGACAGCAAGAGCCAGTACCTCAAGAAGCCTATGGACTGTATGCAGGAGCGATCTTAATATCTTAAATATCTTAATTTGTGTTCCGAAGATGAACGAAGGTCTTACGGGGTTGAAACAACATGAGGGTGAGTAAATACTGACAGAATTTTCATTTTTGGGTGAACTAACCCTTTAAGATCACTCCTGCATACTAGTCCATAGGCTTCTTGAGGGAATGACACTTGCTGGCATCGAAAAGTCATTAAAGACATCGTTAAAATAGTCCAAGTGACTACAGTGGCTCAATTTTAACTTTATCAAAAGACGAGAACACTTTTTGTGCGAAAAAACGGACAAAAATAACGACTTTATTTCAACTATTCACTTCCTTCTCCATGGGCCTGTAGTCAGTTAACGTAGTGTGATTGCGTAAAGCTACGTCACACGTAGGCTCACTATTGGCCGACGCTGGTCATGTGTGTGATGCGTGTGACGTACAATAACAGAAGCTTACTCTATTAAACTAGTAACCTGACTCGCGCAGAGGGAGAAATAAACGAATAGTTGAAATAAAGTCGTTATTTTTGTTGTTTTTTTGCGCACAAAAGTGTTCTTGTCGTTTGATAAACTTAAGATTGAGCCCCTGTAGTCACTTGGACTATCTTAACGATGTCTTTAATGACTTTTCGAGGACAGCAAGTCATTCCCTCAAGAAGCCTATGGACTAGTATGCAGGAGCGATCTTAATATCTTAAATATCTTAATTTGTGTTCCGAAGATGAACGAAGGTCTTACGGGGTTGGAACAACATGAGGGTGAGTAAATACTGACAGAATTTTCATTTTTGGGTGAACTAACCTTTTAATCGTCATATTTTACGTTAAAACGCATTTTGACCAAAGAACCGTCAATATTTCCAAGCAATAGGTGTTTTTGTTAATCCTGTCGACATTTAGTTGTGAATGGGTCTCCCACACTTCTTAATCACGCCCATCATTTCTCCCCGCGGCTTTTAGATTTTAGTCACATCCCAAACTTTAAGGATACCGGGTATCAGATTTGCACAATCCATACGCACCTCGCTCGAAAGCTTGCCAGACCTCCCACGCCTAGTTACGGTTGCTAAGACACGATTGGCCAGTAACGTTTTTCGGGCGTGGCTTAGCGAAGGGTCAATTCCATGGAATTCAGTTATAATTAAATAATATTCACAAATTCTAAATTACAAACATACCTGAGTGTATGTATCCTCAATATTGATATCGATAGCAACCATGATGAAAACCGCAATGGGAACTCCAAAGTCACCGAGCAAACGTCGAATCTGTGCACCAGACAGATCTTTATATTTTAAGCAAGAACAACAAACAGCTGGCGCAATCCGAAGCCTGCCGTAAACAGACAAGTTCTGATATTTTCATCACAATATTTAATAATTTATTTACCTTGCCAGGCAGGAATTTGCCATTCTTGAACATGCGTAGGTAGTATGCAATGGAGAAACAGCCAAACATGAGGCACATGGACAGAAGAGCGGTGTTGGGATAAGGCCGGTGTTGAACGCTTCTTACGACAGACACATTTCCTGTAGCATTATCCAGGAGTCTTTGATAGTTGACAACTGAGTGCCAAGGGTCCTCAACTGTACTGTTTACATGTTCATAATTCAGGATAAGAGGGTGTTCTTTAAAAACCTAGAATGAAGGATGAAGCAAAGAGAGAAAGGTATATTATTGTACAATATTAATGTCTTGAGAGAGTATCATCACAACTATGCTCTCTTGAAATTTTAAATATATAATTAAATAAAAGGAGTGTCTATTTGCTATATTAGCTGTTTAAACAAAATTGTGTTATGTGAAGAAAATTAAGCGAGTCATGCTTGTCCATACAAAATTATTGGCTCAGTGTTATGGGGGTTGCTAGAGTGTGGCTGAGGTGTTTTGAGTGGTTGTTAGCCTGTTGCTAAGTGGTTGCTACGCAGTTGCTAAGGTGTTGTGAGTTGCACTGCTGTGCTAGGTTGTTCTGCTTGGTTTCTGGTAGCATTAAGTGGTTACAACTTGCTTAGCGATTAATACTGGTCCAGTTGCTGGTTCAGCTTAGACAAGTAATAACACTTTTCTCCAGTAACCCACGCAATTTGAGGCTTGTAATTTTCCTTAGCAAGCACCAACAATTAGGCCTTAACATGACACCTGTATCCGGATGTTGTCCACATACACATTGAAAAGACAAATGTAAAAGCGCTTCTGATGGGAATGGTATCCGATCAGCGTTCTCGAGGACGCGTTGTGATCGGATGATAATGTAAACGCAATCCAGCCATCGTGTGTCTGCATTCACAGGGGGACGTCATATAAATCCCCGCCCAGCCAGTCTCCACACGTGGCTGTCAGAAAATAATGGCCAGACGCAGTTTAGACAAGAAATTAAACTTACTTGAAATGTACAATAAACGTCGATCTTTAAAACGGTTTATTTAGACTTACATGATACTGTGCGTGTCATTTTTTATTTTAACTGTGCAACATTATCTGAACGAGGCGATCGCCTTGTACAATCGCAGTCAATCATGAGATCTTAATGAAGAGCTGCTTTGCCAGAGGAATATTCAGAATCGGATTTTTTAAATGTTGAATGTTTTTATTGTTTCAGTGTGTTTAGACAGAAATCTCCCATTTCTGTCAATATAGTCATTGCACGATTGGTTATCCAGATGCAGAGGCTATTTAATTTGAACAAATGTAAACGTGCCATGTCCTGATTGGCTGATTAGCGTAAACACCATAGATATCTATATAAAGGCTAGATGTCTTAAGGCGGAGTTTCTATCATCATCACCGGCAGCCATCTTGTCACAGGCAAGCTGATGTAATATGAGTGGTCAGCACAAACACAAATACTCTTATCTCGTTGAAATCTTGACGGATTTACAAACGGTTTGGTTTCTCACAAACGTTATTAACGTGGCTATGATTATCTGGATGATTATTTATTAATACACTTATTATTCATAAGTATGCTGTGTCATAACTACATCTCTGACGATTATAACAAACCGTTTGAAAATCGGTAGAAAATTGAGCAAGTTATGGTTATTTAAATAGTACATGTACCATTAACACAATGTTACGAGTGAGCGAGCTGCCTGTGACAAGATGGCAGACAGATGCCAGGTGCAGACATCGACCTCCATTGGCCAGCAGCGTGGACGAGATATCTAGCCTTTGTATAGATATCTATGGTAAACGCAACCTAACTATAATTTTGCATAAGAGTGGTTACTGTTGAAAAAACTTTGGAGGATATTAATTTTCAAAGTATGCTAAATTAAATTAATTTAAATTATATTCTAGGTTGGTTGCCTCTTAACAGTATGGTCTTCTTCTGGTCTGGTTAACTAAATTCCTACACTAAAAAATATTGGGTTATTTTTTCCACCCAAATCCTGGGTTGAGCCTTTTGGTTCATTTATTGGTTTCTTTTTCCTTCAGTGTTTGGATAGTTTTGTGTTACCCAGATCATGGGTCAGACTTAACAACCCAGGGGTTTAGTTATTTAGCGCGTTCTTTTTGCAACTTCTTCTTCAGGAGAGAGCAGTGCAGCTCCGTCATATTGGTGCATGTCTTCGGTAAAGTCCAAATTTGTATACATTTTATTCAATTTATTTGTGCTGTATATCGTTTCATTTATGCAAAACAACAAACGGGCATGATGCGAGTCACCTACATGAGTGTTGCGCGACTCGCGTCTGTCTTTTCGCGTGATGGAAACGCCTGATGATTGCATACAATTTTATGATTTTATTCAAAAAGAAACAGAATATAAATCCTTAGCATGTTCAAATATGTTCTCAGAACTGTACACGGTTTATGGAGTGTATGGAGGTTATGCATGAGTTGGCTACGGGTGAAATTGATATATTTGGGCAGCTCAACCCAAATTAGGTTGTTTTTAACCCATTTTTTAGATTGTAAAGATTAAACAAGTCTTTATCATGCAGAAAAAATGTATGAAACCAAAAGATATACAGCGATGGTTGAATGAAGATGTAAAAGAATGCAACAAAACGTTAAAAAGGCAAATAAAGAATGTACCCTGCCGAGTTTTGCGAAGGTCTCGTAGATGAAGATGAGGGAGATAAGGATGGAGAAGATCTCTTGAGTGAAACGGGAAATGAATCGGACCAGAAAGCTTCCTTCCAAGGCGACGATCACCACAACGATGACCATCAGCCACGCGCCAATCCACACTCGGCCTACGATGTACTCAATGCCCTGAGACTTACAGAACTACAGCCGGGAGGGAAGGCATGATGGGAGAATTTCAATTACACAACATCGATGCTGTACATCAGATAAACATTGTAAAGAGAGACAAACACTCACAGTAAAAAAAGCCTCTTCAAACACCAGCAGCGGCCCGGAGAAGCCGATGACAAGCACCGGTTGGGCAGCGACCAGGCAGAAGATAATGCCCAGCACTGAAGTGGATATCATCAGCTCCGACACACCCATCATGTTCTCCACCTTATCAGCTGTGGAGAGCAGAATAAGAGTGCCAAGCAAACCTTTAGAAGGTCAGTCTTCAAAAATCTTGATTTTTATTGTTCGCTCTCTTCAGCTTTTTGGTGTAACTGATCCACTGAAAAACACACGCAGACCTGGGCTAATGTTTTTTGTATGCCATATTTTACTTATTTGATATACTTTCTAGATATTTAAAGGAGAACTCTGCCGCAAAATGAACCTTAGGTCTAATTACACATTGGTACATAGTCAACCGTTCCCTGAGATTTGTTTCTGAGATCGTCGAACCACAAACGCCGAGCCAAGTTCTGGTTCGTTCACATCTCACCAGCGCACTTGGCTCAGCATTCGTGGTTCGAATTGTCGAGACTGTTTTCCAAAGATGGCTCCTGCCTGTATTCGCGAAGTGGACTGTCTTTATAAAATATCTTCTTATTAAAACGGTCTGTACAATTACAATGTTCTCAATACTTCGGTTAGCATGTAGGGACTGTGATTATGTTACTGTGTTAGTGTTGGGCTATTTTGAGCCTTGTTAGTGGTATTAACTAGCAAATTTTATTTTCATTAGTCTATGCGCTATATACTAGCGTTATAAGCTAAACAGTTTTTAGAGATAAAACTCTTTACATTCGATAATCATGAAAACAAATCTCAGAGAATGGTTGACTAGGTACCAATGTGTTATTAGACCAAAGGTTCATTTTGTCATTTTGTTAACAAAATTAAATTGTTTTTCTGAAATATATATATATAAATGATAAAAAGGCAGCTTCAAAAATCTAATGTTCTGAGCTTATTCATCTGAAAACTTTCAAAAACTTTTACAATCTGATTACGGTATTCGGATACAGAACATGAATTTCAGCAAGATGCTGAAACTTTTCAATGATGAAAGAGTGCAAGGTAAGAAGCTAAACACTTAAAATGTAAAACTGTTTTATGATGATACAAATGTTAAACAACCAACAGTAATATCTGTAGATGTAAATTACTCAACTCTTTTGTCAAATTATTTGCTAAGACATCTAATTCCACCTCTAAAAATTTCAGAGCAAAGATTAGCTGCTTAAAAATATATAAATCTATATAAAAAAAATGAGTTTGTTAAAATTCACATATCTAGAATTCAAATTCATTAAATCTCAATTTATTAAAATTAATTAAATCCTTCTATTATTTTTCTAGCTTCATCAAGACTGAGCCCAATCCAACTTGGGGTGCACTGTTGTCTGGCATGCCAGACCTACAGTACATCAAGGTCTGGGAACTCATCATTGACAACCAATCAGAGCAACGAAGAAGGTGGCGTAGTCAGAGCATATCCAGTCGGCAAATCTCCGAACACATCTTTAAAGAGTAACTAAACCCCTGGTCAGAGCCTGACTCCACCCACTAGCAATATTTGAAAAATGCTGAAAAAATGGGCAGACCCCAGCGGGGCCAGGGGGCGTGCACCTGAGACCCGCCGTGAGTGACAGCTGCTGTCAGATTCTAAAATAGAGCAAGACTGGAGTGACGCAAGTAGCTGCCTTTGCAACAGAGCGGCCATTTGAAGTCGAGGACTTTTCTCCCTCACCTTCACCTTCACCTGAAGTGGATGAGGGTGAATTGTATGTAGACACAGGGCCAAATCCATTCGAGCCGCTGGCTCAAACTGCGGTCTTAACTCCCGCATCGCGACCGGCATCTGATGAGTTATGTCGTCGAGTTGATCTCAATAGCGCACGCTCTGTGGGCATGTATTCATATTGATATTCTGCCGCTATGTGAAAAAATCCGGCAAAATGCACCGGCTCGTTTGTCGACCCCAGAGGATTAACTTTATCCTAACCATAAATTGTGATTAAAATATCCATGATCACTCACATCAAGACGCCGCTGCGGTGGAGGAGTCCATGCAGGACGAGCAGTGTTTGGCACTGCGTGGAGAAGCCCATGTCCACCTCTATTCCGTTACTATCCTGATCGTGATCACTGTACTAAACACTGATAAATCTATGCTAACTTGAAGCTATCCTAACTGTACTATGCTACTAGCTACACAAAATAATCTAAATAACTATATAAATGCTATGCTAACTAGATGCTAATATTTGCTATCCTGATCGTTTTCAATACTCATAAATCCAACTCCTGACTCGCTACAGTAGTTTTGACGGAACCAGATGCTTTTATACCAGGGGCTGCCAAGGGCGTGGTGAGCTCGCACCAAGGGCGTGACAGAGTGGCGTCTGAGAGTTCGCTACGTCAGAAAGTACCCCTACTGCAGGAGCTTTCCGTTTAGCCTGAAGAGGGCAGCACTCAGACGTTTTTACACCATATATTTGAAAATCAAAACACTTTATACTCAATTTTCAAAAAATGTACTCGAATCAATGAACAGCATTTATGAAGCTCCATTCTTACAGATCATTAACTAAAAAAAGTTGTTTTGGCGTTTAGTTACCCTTTAAAGGGATACTCCACTTTTTTGGGAAATAGGCTCATTTTACAACTCCCCCAGAGTTAAAGAGTTTTACCGTTTTCAGATCCATTCAGCCAGATTTTCTGATATTTAGAAGAATATCAGTAACCAGACAGTTTCTGGTCTCACTGACCTACATAGTTGGAAAAAAATATACTATGGAAGTCAATGAGACCAGAAACTGTCTGGTTACTGTAATTCTTCTAAATAACAAAAAATCGGGCTGAATACATTCGAAAAAGGTAAAACCCAACTGTTTAACTCTGGGGGAGTGGTAAAATGAGCCTATTTCCAAAAAAAGTGTAGTATCCCTTTAAAAAAAAAAATGATGATGTGATTGATTGAAAAATGTGATTGGCCTGACTAAAGTTTTTTTTTTTTTTTTTTTTTCCAGCTAAAACATCTATGGAGAGTTGCTAGACCACACTGGCGAAATAATTTTTGCTGCCACTAGGGTGGGTCTAGATTTCTAGGCTAGGAGCACTGTGCATGTAATGTTAAACAAATACTCATTCGCTCACTATTTCCCAATATAATGGACTGTGTGGCAATCATTATTGAACAAACAATAGATGGGAAAATGTGTAATTTCACATTGTATGTCTTCTCTTTCCACACTGACAGCTATTCTCTAAAAAAAAATAATCAATTACTTAACTTGCAAAATGATAGTGTGAATGTTCAATCTTTAAAAAGCCCCTAGGAGCCCCATAGGAGCATTTGAAATGTTCCTATTTTTGTTTTAGGAGTTCCCAAAAACAGATTAACGAGCATGCAAGGATAAAAAACGCGAATCTGCGGCGATTGGTCAAATTACCCAGTCAGTTGTTATTTGTAAACCGTAGGCAGAGACTGTCGGCAACGGAACGCCCATAACCAGGATTATAGCTTGTCAAGTGTTGAAAATTGTGGTAACACTTTACAATACGGGTGCACTAATATGCATTAATTCATGCTTAACTAATACACAGATAATCATGAGTTAATGTATAACTAATGAAGAACTAAACCATTAATTAACGATTACTGCATCAGCAACTAATAAAGAGTCTACATGATTAATAGATTAAGTAATACATGAATTGCTATTAATTCAATGTGTCATTGTGTATTAATTCCTTAATAACATATTTTATTAACTAATAGTGTAAATTAATGTGTTAATAGTCAAAGCTATGCACTTCAACTTCCAGTTGTCTGCTTTAATTAATCATTAGCTAATGATTTGCTAAGGTATCATTATCTTATGACTTTACTTGTTGGGGCACGTCATTATTAACTAGTCATTTAGTAATTTTCACATGAATTTGCACTAAAAATTAAGTAAGTAATCATGTATTAATGCATATTAGTGTACCTGTCATATTATCTGGAAGTTGAAATACAAGGCTTTGGCTTATTCTGGTAATTAACATATTAATTAACACTATTAGTTAAAAAAATGAGTTACTATGGAATTAATCCACAATTACATATTTAATTAAAAACAATTCATGTATGAACTAATACATTAACCTTACAGACTCTTAATTAGTTCCTAATGTGGTAATCATTAATGAATAGCTTAGATAATCATTACTTACACATTAATTCAGTATTATCTGTGGATTAGTTAAGCATGAATTAATGCTTATTAGTGCACCCTTATTGTAAAGTGTTACCAAAATTGTATAAAGTGTTTGAACAAACGTGTCAGAAAAAGTGCACTTTCCACACGGCCCCTTACTCACGTCTCCGTCAAAAGCGAGCTTTCCCGGGGAAACTCGCATTGCTTTGAGGGACAGTGCTTATTATATAGAGCGAAGTCATATTTGGCTTCCATAACGACTATAAGTCGTTTAGGAGGTAATTGCCATTTTTCAATGAATGTCTGGTGAATATCAAAAACAATACTAACTTTACCCTGCATAGAAGCTGCGCGGAGTGTACACAACACACACAACACAATATTACTACATATTATATTAATATAAACATTATTATTATTACTTACAGATTGTGATTCGGAGGAGGACGAACCTGATCCATATACACTGGATACGGAGCCCTCCTTCGGGAACAACCGGCTTGCGAATCAACACATTTGAATTCATTTAGGTTTTTGAATTTTGAATGATTCGTAATTAAAATGATGAGAACACAAGGTTCGGGCATTGCAAATATGAACTCTGACCACTGATTCTTCACATGCTCGTCCCTGGGCAATGAAAACAAGTGGCTGAACTGTGATTCAGCTGAAGTATTTGAATGTGTTCTAGACGTCACTTCAAGTCTGCGCGCGCAGTTGTTGGGAGCGGCCAATGACCTATCTACGTCACGATGTAACAGCTAATGACTCGTTTCAAAAACAATTCATTTCATAGACTCAGAGTCGACAATAACTTTATATACGGTGCGCTTTCAGATATAAATCTTTGCAGGATGTTTTCGTTCCCTTAGAGCTACAGTATATTCCACACTACATGAACAGTCATTATCAAAAATCCATGATAGGTGCTCTTTAAGACTGGATTTGGGAAACATGCATACCAAGGAGACCTCCAAAGGTGATGGCAGGCGAGAGAGCAGCAAAGTAGATAAAGATGATGGCAGCAACAACCTGAGCATTCAAAGCATCCGTGATGTCACTGACATAGTGCTGGTATCGTCTCTTCATGTCTCTGATCATCCCGCCGAACGGAACACCGGTACGGGCAAGCGGATCTTCTGGAGGAGGTGCTAAAGATTTAGAAGCTGTAGGAAGATAGATAGGCATTAGATATCTGTGCTATGTTAACAGTAAGGAAAAAAAGACTGTCATAATCAAAGTGAACACCATGACACAAAGTTGAGGAAACTAAATATCACCTGGAAGGGGTTTATTTTATGATAATGATGGCCTGATTGTACATTTCCCAACTATTTTACAAATTATTAATATGAGGTTTTAATGTCAGGCTTCAACTAAGAACTTAAAAGAGCCATGAAGGAAATCTGTTTCGGGGTCACTTTTATCTTGTAGTGTCAGTAAACAAAAATATTTAGTAACACTTTACAATGAGCTTCCAATCTCAGCTAATCAATTTTAACATTTACCAATATATTATTAAAAATCAGTTGTATCTGTTAATATTATTTAATGGACCTGAGCTAACATGAACTAACAATAAAACATAATCTATGCTTAACAAAGATTTAATATACTGCAACAAATGTATTGCTCATTGTCATTGTTGATGCATTAACTAATGGGGCCTTGTTGTAAAGCGTTACCAAATATTTGAGGTTGCAAACTGAACAATCACAATTTAATATACCAGTAAGTTTTTATTCTGTGTAATAAAATTAACTAAATTAGATTTGTGCACATAGTTCATTTACATTATTTCCAATTTCCGTTTCGTTTTAAGCTTATATAGTGCTTAATAAAAAATGCACTTTTATATTCAATACTCCTAAATCAAATGCTCTCATGCTTTTCAGAAAATATTTTTGAGAAATATTTCTGCCATTTTATATTTTCTGGAAGCAACTTTCAAAATGACCCCAGCCCGTGGGTCCAGTTTACAAAAAAAAGTTAATGTATACCATCTAGAAATAATCCTTCCAAAAAGGTTCATATGAACCAACGAAATTGTTGGGTGTGACAATAATTACAATATATTCTCAGTAACATGTCCAAATTTAAACTAAACATGTACACATAGACACCTGAATACCTGAGGACACTGTATGCCAAATTTCAACTATAACAAGAAAACTCTCCAATCGTTTAAGGAAGTTTTAGACTACAATTGTATCCCACAATACATAGCATAGCAATTGAGGTTTCAACTGCTTGAACCTCTGATCTACTTGTAGTTATATATTTTTATTCTCACACAATATATTATACAGTGATCTTATCCTTTAATCATGGGCTGTACTTTGTGTATGTCTCCTTACGTTTGCGGGGTTTGACTTCCAGGCGGAGTTTGGGGTCAGAGGGGCGGAGTCTCTCTTGCAGTAGTCTCTTCTGGAAGGGGATGAGTGATGCTAGCATGGACTCATTGGGAATCTCAGTGGGCGGGATCACAATGCAGCAGTCCGTGAAGTCTTCCACGGCATCGGTCAGCTCCCGGTCACTCTGAGCCTGGAAAGCTGCTTGGTTAAACACCTGTGTGTGAAAGATAGGTGTAGGAAAAACAAGAGAGAAACTGTATATAATGTGCTGTTTCTCTTTAATAACTTCAATCTTCAGAGAGGCTGAATTAAAGGGATACTTCACCTCTGGAAAGGTGAATGTGTATTTAAAATGGGTCATTTATGTAGAAGAAATGTGAATTTGGAGCTTTCTAGACTGAGAAAAGCCAGAAAATGTATTTTTGGCTTATGTGGATGAAAGACAACAACTCCCAGAATGCACTAGCTTCGCTGCCCCAGGAGGCCATGCCTACCGGTAACAGAGCGCAATAGTTAAACAACAAGTCTAGGCTACTAGTGAGTCTCTGTGATAAGTCTGCCCAAAAATGTGTTTCGAGGCCGGTGGCATGATTACCGATGAGTAGGGTTGGGAACCGAGAACCGGTTCTTTTCCAGAACCGGTTGTGTTTTTGAAAAAATACCGGAACCGTGCAAAATTCCTAAGTTTCGGTTCCGAAAACGGTTCTGATGCCGATGCGATATCATCATGTGGGCAAAGTGCTGGGAGTAGAAGACGCCGTCTTATTCCTAAATGACAAAAACTTCACCACTGAAGTTGCGATTTGCTCTCACACGCGCTGCATTTGTCACACACAGACACACGCACGCTGTGCGCGCCGACCGCCGAGTCACTCTCTAGCCTACATTCAAATCTGTTTGCGCTGAGAGAGAGAGAGAGCAGTTGTCGATATGAAACTGCTTTACAATCACACAGTCTCAATATTTATTTGTTTCACATATTCAAATGATTTCCGTTACAGAATTAGTGAGATTATAGTTTGAGTAAACATTGACGGTAGTGGTCAAAACAGATGCAGTCCGTATATTTTTTGTGTTCAGAATTTACAAAATATATACAATGAGCGAGTGCATCATAATGTTTTTTTTTCAAACCGTGTTTTTGTCTTATCTTGAATCACTACGTAAAGCCTGTAATAAGCGTTAATACTCGGACTTCTTTAGACTGGCCGGCGGATCGCAGCTGCTGCGGAGTAGCCCAATGCCTGCGTGACTCGTCATGGACATAAACAGAGAGAAGTAGCTCCGGCAACAATGTTCTTCCGCAAGACGCATGCAGTTCTGTTTATTAACTGCTAGAGCGCCGATTTATCCAGTAATGAAATAAGTAAAGTCTTTATGAATCAATCATTCAAACCGTTTTAAAAAATAATCTGTTCTACACACATATGTGTGTTAAAGCATATACTATTCCTTCTGAGAGGGTATTCTTCACTGTTGGAGATACAATAAAGGAGAGGTCTAAATTATTATAGAGAATGCAGAATTTTTTAATTTCCTTTATATATAATTTTTTTTTTTTTTTGCAAAGATTGCTTAATAATATTTTGAGTTTGTTTACATTACCAGTCTGTTAAACTAATTTGTCATGTACTATAAGAAATAAACACAAAAAGGATTGTGGATTTTTCTCTTACTAATATTTTTAATTGAATGGGAACCGAAACCGGAACCGGAATCGTTTGGCGGAACCGGAATCGGAACCGGAACCGGAAAATTTCTCACGATTCCCAACCCTACCGATGAGCGACACCTGTGAGACTGGGAGTTAAAACACACATCAACAGATCACTTGTTTAGCGTTCATGTAAACACTACATTCAGATTCACCAATCGGAATGAATTCAGTTAGATTGAAACAAAAGCTGTGCATGTAAACAATGAATGGCGACTGCAGAAAGCAAAAGCTGAATCCCGGACATCGACGGCCGGGCATGTCTGGGAAAAAGAGGACGGTAACCCCTACTACTCAGCTTTCTCCACAGAACAAGAGCCTGCTAGCTTAGCTTCTAAAAAAAGATGGCCGACACTATTGTGTTCATTCTGTGAGTGAGATCCACCCTCTATGGGCGGGTTGAGAACATGCAGGACAGACCCTACTAATGACTATTTAGTCTTTAGACAAAAATCCTACGATGACGCAAAATGGCGATTTTTGTGTCATCGGAGGATTTTTTTCCAGACAAAAAATACATAAATCTCTCGCCTCAGGGGGATATGAGGGTGGAAAGCACGGTAATTCGAAAATACTACAGGTTTTCTACTAATAATAAGCTTAATGCTAAATCCTGAAGTATCCCTTTAAGATGAAAAGATGGTTGTTTTGTGGTTCACATGCTCCTTTTTGCCAGCATTTCCTGGGGCATGAATAATTAATATGGTACCAGTATTTTCCAACCCTTTTAGGGTACTGTACCCCCAAAACACTTGATCCTGCCTGAAATACCCCCACAAGCACATCAGTGTAATTTTTAGATTTGGTGTAAATTTTAGTTTTCCAGTGTAACATCTTTAGACAGCACCACTTTTTTTACATTTTTGTTGAAGATTTTGTTGTCATTTTATTGTGATGTCAGAATGAGCCTGTTTCGAACTATTTGTTTGTAACATTTTTAGCATACTTTTAAAAAGAGTACTTATTACGGAAATAATATACTTAAAAGGAGCATTTCACCCCTTTCAACATTAATCTTTATTGTAAGTAGATCAAATATGTAGTCGAAATGTAAAATAATTTTTGAGTTTGGTGCCCTCTTGACCGAGAAAAGACTGAAGGGGGCATTTGTATGTAAGACAACAACTCCCACAATGCAGCACAATGGACATCTCCGCAAGCCACACCCACTAATACGGAACTACGTGCACATGAGAGAAATCATTCTTCTGTCTACAAGGCTAACATTAGCTGTCACCAGAGTTTGAAATTCATTTCACACAAAATTTCTAGTTAGTTGGCTGTGGCGAGCAGGACGAGGGCGACTGGGCGAGGGATGTGAGAGGACGGCACGAGTGATAATGAAAGACACCAGTGAGACACTCACGCACCGGTCTCGCATCTCATGTCGCACGGAGGAGCGGATCATAAACATAAAACTTAGCAGCAGAATTTCAAAATCCTCTTCTTCCATATCATGTTTAGTTTCTTCCGTCATTATCATACTTCCTATCTCCACAGCGCCCACTGTAGGGTGAGTGAGTCCCACACCCTTGAATAATAATGAGCTAATGTTTGTAGTCTACAGATTTTAATGAAATATGACTTCCTACTTATTGTGACGCAAAATGACAATATTTACGACATAATAAGCAGGAAGTAAAACACTTAAATCCTTATTTCTCCCATCTCAGGGGAAAATAAGGGAATAAACCATGACCATTAAGAAATATGACCGGGTTTCTAAAGATACAAAGCTTATTGCAAATGTGTGAAGTGTCCCTTTAAGTTTGAAATGAATGTAATGTTTTTCATTTAAATTTTAGAAACAGAGAGCTTTTTTTGACTACAGTACATATTTATATTTCATATTTACTTCTATTGTCTTTAATATGACCAAATACACTGACAAGTATGCCAAACTAAAATATACTTTTATGACATTTCTATTAAAACATGTATGTCATGTCAAATATATTTGTAATTAGACATTTTAAGAATGAAGTTGCAAATTAGTACATTTAAAAATATTTTTACTTTAAAACACTACAGTTAAAATTACATCAAGTATTTTACGTTTGCTTTAGTATGTAAGTGAACACATCAAAATAAGTTTACTTTAAAACATGACAAAATATTAATACATAATGGGCCCTATTTTAACGATCTGAAACGCAAGTATTAAGCGCGAAGCACAAGTAACTTTTGCGTTGGGTGCCAGATAGGGACCCATGACTTAAAATGTACTTTAAAATACAACTTGGTCCCACTTTATATTAAGTGGCTTTAAGTACTATGTACTTACATTGAAATTAATAATTTGATACAATGGACTTATTGTGTACATACATGGTTTTACATTGTACTCACATTTTAAAATTCCAGCATGTAATTACAGCTATAATTAATTTATGTAATTACATTTGTAATTACACAGTTGACCCTCCCCTCACACCTTAACCTACCCTTAAACCGACCCATACCAACACACCTGTCCCTAACCTTATCCAGATCACACCTCAATAGCAGCAAAAGTGTTTTACAATACAGCAGGAACACAATAATACATTGTACTTATTGTTCAATGTAAGTAAATAGTACTTAAAGCCACTTAATATAAAGTGGGACCTAAAACGTTATAAACTTTGCCATTATAAAGCTTAGAAGAGCCAGGATATTTTTAATATAACTCCGATTGTATTCGTCTGAAAGAAGAAAGTCATATACACCTATGGCTTGAGGGTGAGTAAATCATGGGCTAAATAAAAAATACTTATATTATCTGCAAGTTTTGATTTTTAAACATTTTTTGAAGATGTAAAGCACATTCGGTACAATTAAGAACAAGAGGAGGTGTGCATTTGTAGCGTTTTAACATTATAGAAAACATAAATATGATTTTGAATAAGTTACCATATAAATAAAGGAAGCACTTTGCATACGGCAGAGCTTTTTTTTAAAGGACAGAGAACTCATGTTTAACCTAAATAGGTAACTGTTGCAATTTGATTTTCCTGTCAGTTCTCTTACTTTGTCAGCTAGTAGTGCTGCCATTGCTCGGCCAGACTCATGATAGTTCATGTCATTTGTGGATGGGCCAATCAGGATAAAGATGAAGCGCACAGGCACGGGAGCTTCCAGAGCCGACTCCAGCACCACAGCGTCCCGGAGACGCACGAATGCTACTGTGGGCCTCTCAAGGAACTCCAGAGCACCTTACACACAAACACACACCATTTTTGCTGTAAAAAAATACAGTCAATGTTTGATAACAGAAACACATTACTAATTTAGTAAGTCACACCTTTGAATGTAAATGATTGGAATTATTAATGAAAACATCCTCACCTACGAGCACCATTGAGGCTTCTGCATGATCAGCTGTGTCCCGCTTGGGTTGAGAATAAAACCACATAGTCAAAAAATGTCAAATGACTCATCATTAAATTCAAAACTTAGATAATACATTATAAATGATGTGTTAAAGCCCGTTCACACCAGCAGAAGATATTGTTGCTTATTCTATTGCAGTTTTTATCTGCTGCTTTAAATGCTCAAGCTCTTTAAAGCAGAATAGGTTCGGATTGGCCGTCAATGTTTTAACTGTTCATCAGTTCATCCAATTATATTATTTAAATACAAAATTTAAATACAAAAGCCCTGAACCCCAATATAAAAAATAAATAAATAGCAAAAAATAAATAGATAAATTCTAGTATTTCGAGAATCAAGTTGAAATGTTTCGAGAATCAAAGTCGAAAAGTTTTGAGAATTCGACTTGATTCTCGAAACTTGATTCTGGAAACGCTTCGACTTGATTCTCGAAACGTTTCGACTTGATTCTCGAAACGTTTCGACTTGATTCTCGAAACGTTTCGACTTGATTCTGGAAACGCTTCGACTTGATTCTGGAAACGCTTCGACTTGATTCTGGAAACGCTTCGACTTGATTCTCGAAACGTTTCGACTTGATTCTCGAAACGCTTCGACTGGATTCTCGAAACGCTTCGACTTGATTTTTGAAACGCTTCGACTTGATTCTGGAAACGCTTCGACTTGATTCACGAAACGCTTCGACTTGATTCTCGAAACGCTTCGACTTGATTCTCGAAACGCTTCGACTTGATTCTGGAAACGCATCGACTTGATTCTCGAAACTTGATTCTGGAAATGCTTCGACTTGATTCTGGAAAGGCTTCGACTTGATTCTGGAAACGCTTCGACTTGATTCTGGAAACGCTTCGACTTGATTCTGGAAACGCTTCGACTTGATTCTCGAAACGCTTCGACTTGATTCTCGAAACATTGCGACTTTAATCTCGAAATGAAAGAATTTTTTTTTACGTTGCCGTTCAGTGTTTACGTAATAATAATAATATATATTATATTAAACTAATTATATTGTTTTGGAGCTGTTATCATTATAGTTGTGGTGTGAACTCTGTTCTTTTATATTTGGAACGATCTTTAGAACTTTATTTTTATCATTATAGTTATTGTCCTTGGTGTGAAAGGGCCTTTATAATCATGCTCGAAACAGTTACTAGAAGAAAACTTGCTCACTTTGTCTGTGACAGAGAATTTCTCCATCTCCATGCCTGCAGTCAGGGGCTGGGTCTCTAAAGACTGGCTGGAGAGAGAGTAAGAAATAAAATGAATGCTTTTAAAGGTGAATAATAACTACACTACAAGTCTAAAGAAAACGAGAAGCAGGACCCTGCAAAATTCACTGTCATGATGCTATTCTGCTGTCAGTGGTTGCTACGGTGTTCTGTGTGTGTTTTAGTGCATTGTTATGCAGTTGCTAGGGTGTTGTGTGTGATTGCTAAGTGGTTACTACTGGCCCTTAAAGAGTACACCCCCAAGTCTCTAATATTCTGATTCTTCAAATATTTCATAATTATTTTTCAACGCAAGTACATAGTTAATGACACCATTTTTGCAACTGTTACTCTTGCATATTGACGTCTTCTATTTTGTACTTGAAAGTAGGGGTGTAATATCCTACCTCGGTTTTGAAGACACGCTATGTTTTTGGTACAGCAGGAGTAGAAACAACATAAAATTGCTTATTTTTTCCTATGTGTCTAAAAAAGTCTTTCAAAAGTCTTATAATTCAGTTGCAGCTGTTTTGAAATCTTTCAGGAGCAAAATATTTAGCTAAATTAATATTTTAGAGTTATCGGACTCCCATTCTAATGCACGCCGGTGCTCTTTCAGTGAAGCCTGTGAAGTTTACTCACGTGCCGTCAGCACGTATGAGCCTTTTTGCAAACTGGATATGCGCATGTAACATTTACAGACAAGAATACAACCATAAAACAGGTCGCATATCTGACAGGAGGGCAAGCCTCTTTAAAATCTTAGGATTTAGTTTGGATCTATGGAAGCCCATTTCGGCCACATATGAAAAAAATCATGCTTTTGAAAACCATGATTATGAGATAAAAAGTCAAAATTATGACACACTATGACATCAACCTCCAGTTTCACAGACAAGGTTTAAGCTAGTCCCAGACTAAAAGACATGTTTGAGCTGTTTAACTGAAAGCAACTTGCACTGACATATCTTCCAATATGTTATATGTTAGTGCCATTGTTTTGTCTCGAGATGTCTCTAACCAGTGATGTTTTTTTTTCTACGGCATGTTTTTAAAAGCTACTTAAATGTCCTAATTAAACTAAGGCCTAATCCTAGCCTAATCTAAGCCCTGTTTGTGAAACCAGGCCTAAAAATCTAAATGATGACTAAGTACACATGAAAATTATGGTAACACTTTACAATACGGGTGCACTAATAAGCATTAATTCATGCACAGATAATACTGAATTAATGTGTAACTAATGATTATCTAAGCTATTCATTAATGGTTATCACTTTAGGAACTAATTAAGAGTCTGTGAGGTTAATGTATTAGATCCTACATGAATTGTTATTAATTAAATATGTAATTGTGGATTAATTCCATAATAACTCATTTTTAACAAATAGTGTTAACTAATTTGTTAATTACCAGAACAAGCCAAAGCCTTGTATTTCAACTTACAGATAATATGACAGGTACACTCATTTGCATTAATACATGATTAATTACTTAATTGTTAAAGCAAATTCATGTGCAAATTACTACAATTACTAAATGACTAGTTAATAATGATGTGCCCCAACAAGTAAAGTCATAACATAATGATACCTTTGCAAATCATTAGCTAATGATTAAAGCAGACAACTGGAAGTTGAAGTGCATAGCTTTGACACATTAATTTACACTATTAGTTAATAAACTATGCTATTGAGGAATTATTACACAATGGCACATTGAATTAATAGCAATTCATATATTACTTACTGTAATCTATTAATCATATAGACTCTTTATTAGTTGCTGATGCAGTAATCATTGGTTAATGGTTTAGTTCTTCATGAGTTATACATGAACTCATGATTATCAGTGCATTAGTTAAGCATTTATTAATGCATATTAGTGCACCGTATTGTAAAGTGTTACCAAAATTATTGAGTAGGCTATACCTTGATTTTTTTTTTGTTATCAAGGTACCAGAAAGTGTGTGTAGTACCTCTGTTTGTGCATTAATGCTTGAAGAACCTTATCTCTGTCCCCTGGCTGAATCTCCCTTTTGCTAACTAGGGTATCCACAATCTTCTCAATAATACTGGAAAGCATCTTCTCCTCTCTGTCCAGCATCACCACACCTGATCCAAGCAAAACACATGAAAAAGAATTCAATTCAAAGGAAATATTAAGGCAAAAGAGGATGAGGGCTTTCCACAATAAACATAGACACTATGGTCAAAGCTGAGGAGCACAGGTTGAGCAGGTTTTACGGGACACTTACTATCTACTACCGTCTCATCTGAGCATGTGCAGTGAAGTTACATTCTTTCTCATATTCCAGTTAGGACAGGATTGACACTAGAATGTGAGTGCAAGTTAATCCTTGGAAACATGTCCATAACTCTAATCTATGAATCATTCCCTAACATAAATGACCATAATTCTTACTATATTAGTAGAGTAGCTTTATGTACATCAATACATCGACAAAATGATCTGTTAATCATTACATGATGTATTTTTTATTAAACATGTTCGCTTATTTTTACTGCAAGCTACTGTAAAATGACAGCTAAATAATGTACTTCATATAAATTATTTTTAGATGCACTGCAAGACTTACTTTTTAGGGCTGTCAAACAATTAATCGCGATTAATCGCATCCAAAATAAAAGTTTGTTTTTACATAATATATGTGGGTGCACTGTGTATAATTATTTTATACATTTAAATACACACACATGCTTGTATATATAAGAAATATATTCATGAATGTACTGTATATATATTTATGTATATAATTTATATTATATATAAATATTTTTTATATAATTTGTATTATATATTATATTTTATATAATTTGTATTATATTTGACAGCCCTAATACTTTTACATTGTTACAAGGAATTTACATTACAAATAAATGATGTTCTTTCGAACTTTATATTCATCAAATATTCCTGAAAAAAAAAGATATCAAGGTTTCCACAAAAATGTCAACATTGATAATAATGAGAAATATTTATTAAACACCAAATCAGCATATTAGAATGATCATTTCTGAAGGATAATGGCTGCTGGAAATTCAGCTTTGCAATTAAAGAAATAAATTGCATTTAAAATATATTATAAACAAAAATATTTAAAAATATTTCAAAAAAAAAAAAAAGTGTTTTTATCAAATAAATGCAGGCTTGGTAAGCAAGATACTTCTTTTTTACTCTTACCAGCCTAACTTTTAAACAGTAGTGTATAATAATGCATAATAACAATTACTATTATGTAATATTTGGTAGAGTGAGACAGCCTTGACATAGGAAATGTGAAGTGATTTGAATTGAATTGAAAAGGCGAGCTGAGTGTTGACCCCAGTCACTCCCTCACCCGTGTTCATTGTCCTGCGTAACTGCACTAGGCTCTTGAAGGTGAGGTAGGAGATGTGGGACGGACCCCAGCGGCCCGCCTCAACATCATAGGTTTCTTCATAGCCCATCCATCTGCCCGTCTCCCGCCAATAGCTCTGCTGGCCTGACTCGTTCATCTCCACATAAGTCTGAGATAATAAAACGACACAATAAACGGCTCAGCTAACTATCATACATGCACTCTAAAAAATGCTGGGTTGTTTAAACCCAAATTTGGGTCAAATATGGACAAACTCAAATAAAAAATACAGTTAAAAGTGAAAGTTAAAGTTGGTTTAAGATTTTAAATGACACTTTTAACCCAGCATTTGGGTTTGTCCATATTTTACCCAAATTTGGGTTAAAACAACCCATTGTTGTTTAGATTGTAGGTCCGCTAAACATCACAATGAATTTAAAGCATGGCATTGAGTAATAATGGGTCATGCACAGTTAAATAAAACAAAACAGAATATTTTACGTAAACGTTAATCAACTTTGATGCCACGTGGTTTTCCATCCACAAATGTACCCAGATTCACACAAACACTTAAAGGAGTAGTTCACTTTTCAAAAAACATTTGCTGATAATTTACTCACCCCCATGTCATCCAAGATGTCCATGTCTTTCTTTCTTCAGTCGAAAAGAAATTCAGGTTTTTGATGAAAACATTCCAGGATTTTCTCCATATAATGGACTTCAATGGGAACCAAACGGTTCAAGGTCCAAATGAGAGTTTCAGTGCAGCTTCAAAGGGCTTTAAACGACACCAGACGGTGAAGCTGCACCGAATCTCTCATTTCGACCTAGAACCGTTTGGTTCCCAATGAAGTCCATTATATGGAGAAAATCCTGGAATGTTTTCATCAAAAACCTCAATTTCTTTTTGACTGAAGAAAGAAAGACATGGACATCTTGGAAAAAGTTTTTTGAAAAGTGAACTACTTCTTTAAGGATTGATGCTGGATAGATTACTGACAAATTGTAGTCTATTACTGAATAGAAATTACATGATTTAAATTGTCTTCAGTAATCTAATCTATTACATTACACATTTTAGGTAACATAAATCTGACTACTTTGATTACTTTTAACCTAACTTGTTATAACATTGATTTGAACAGTACGATCTTATATGATATATTTTTTTTTTTTAGAAAAGAAAATGTAAAAGATAAAAAAAAGAATAATAAAACAGAATATATTTATTATGAATAGGTACCGCTAATCTAATTATAAGTGTTTTAAAACATAATATGATCTAAATAAAACTCTTTTCTTTTTGGAATCTGATTACGTAAGCTAGATAACATGTAGTCAGTTACAATCCAGCAACTAAGAATAGTGACTAAGATAGCCTTGAGCAGCAATTATTATGGTTCAACGCTTTAAGGCCTCTGAGCACATCCGTAAAAAGGTATTATGTTTTATTTAGCAAGCATGTAACCACTTAGATCATACAGTACATGGAAAAGACCATTAACAGCCAATACGGGAAAATTACAAATAGTTTTAAAGCTTTTTAACAGTTATTGAGGTTGTTTTTCACTATATGATATGAATGCTGTGGGATGTGCGAAAAATCGTGTATACAACCTTTACGCATGTGAAAAATGTTAAGGTGACCCTGGTTGATTTCTTTCTAATTTTTCAAAGGTCAAAGGTCAAACAGGCCCAGCGATTTTCGTACCGATCGACATCCGTTAATAACCTTGTCTGAGAGCCATTCAAACTTCATTGTCCAACGGAGGCCGTGTTTTTCGAGTTCTTTTTTTTTCCGTGTTTTTCACTAATGTCCTTGTAGACAATCGCGGCACCTTGGACATACACACAGCATGCCGGGTGTCAAGTCAATCAGACTGACTGTTGCATAGCTATAGCTGTTTAAATACAATTTTTTGTCATACATACTTTTTTATGATAGACAGACATTTTCTCCGTCTGACAAGACAAAAAATAGTCCAAAACCCACCAAACTGTAGGAATGACATACATAGATATCTTGAATTACAAATAGATTGCATGAATTTATGTCCTTATACTGCAAATTGTTTGTTTAGAAGGTTTTGGCAGGTAACCCAAAGTATTCTTTATGTGGGAACTTAATTAACTGATTTTTATATTAATGAATGAGTTTTAAATTAACATTTGACTACATTAGGTTAGACCAGCGCATGCCATTTAAAGGGTCAGATCAACAGGAATGCAGCACATCCTGTATGGAAAAACTGCATGTTATTACTTTTTAGTGAATTGAAACAGTGAGATGTCATATAACATCCTTCTTGTTCTACTGGTTGTTATAGTTCAAAGCAGAGATGTAGACAACTTAAACATGATGGCGGGACCTCTGGTATGACTGTATTTGTGTGTGTGTTTCCTGGCCAGTGATGACTGATAAATTAAAGCTCATGTTTACCCTCAAAACATCAGGAGTGTGAGTGGCACAAGGCAGACTGCAAATGCGGAGACTGAGTAAATTAACAGGAAGTCAGGAATTGTAATTTGGATTTATGTGTACCACAGCTGACCAGACAGTGTTCTTGGTTTTGATATTCACATTCAGAGCAGCTAGAAACAATGTTAGGGGTAATGCATTACAAGTAGCGCAATACTTTTAAATTTGTTTGTAGACTTATTTGTTACTTTTTCAAATAAGCAATGCAAGTTTTGCAATTTATTGACTGACACACCTCTCCTAACCCCAAAGACTAAATGTCTAAATGTGAGCATTCATTTGCTCATCTCAATTGCTAAAAAACAGATTCAGTATTTCTCAAAAATGTAAAAACAAACATTTGTAAAATGCAAATTTAGAATATTCACAAACCAGCAATTATTAAATTTACTTTATGCATTTAACTTTATTAACCCATGACATTGCATACCAATAAGGAAATTTTTTTTTTTTTTTACTTTTATCAAAGGGATTGTTCACTTTTAAATACATTTTTGGTATGTTTTAGCTTACCTCAAGGGCATCCAAGATGTAGGTGTCTTTGATTCCGCAGTAGTTTTGAATATTTCAATTTTGATATTTTTAGGTGAAACCGTTGTTGTCTGTCACTCATATAATGGAGGTCTATGGTCACCACCTCAAAGAGCATGCACAGAGAAGTCCAAATTAAACATGATTTAATGACTCGTAAATTTAAGTACACATTGATGGCCTAAGACACGAGACGAGCGGTTTGTGTAAGAAAACGAACAGTATTTATATAGTTTTTACCTCTTGTTACCGCCCCCTCAGATCACTTGGACGTGGCTGTGGTTACAAGCGGTAAAAACTATATAAATACTGTTCGTTTTCTCACACAAACCGCTCGTTTTTTGTCTTAGGCCATCAATGTGTACTTACATTCACGAGTCATTAAATCGTTTAATTTGGACTTTTCTGTGCATGCTCTTTGAGGTGGTGACCATAGACCTCCATTATATGACTGACAGACAAGAACGGTTTGACCTAAAAATATAAAAATTTAAACTACTATTTTCCAAACCGCAAGTCCAATGTGGCTACAGCGTAATATCATACAGGTATTTCCTTTTAATTGATTATTACATTGTTATTACAGAGTTATTACAGAGTATTATTACAGAGTTCAAGATGCATCTTTTCATACATTGATTATTACTATGATTATTAAACTGCAAGCACAAGCTATGCAAATGCGCCAGGCTTTCCTGCGCACACAGAGCCTAATAAGTGCACTATATTAGTGGAGTAATGTAGGGTATAGTGAATGAGGGTATAATGGGCAATTTTTGAGTCTTGAACTTTCTTCTTCTGCAATCCAGATTGACAGAACACGGCTGAAAGGTTTGTTTGAGCTGTGCCCTCTACTGTACAGGCATGTATTTGCAGTACAAAAAAAATTTTTTTATTGACTTCTGTTGTTAAAGGCTTAAAATTGTGGGTCTCACTTTATATTAAGTGTCCTTAACCTGTACTTGCATATATCCTTATTGTTTTCATATTGTATTGCAAAACACTTTTGCTGCTATTGAGGTGGGATACGGGTACGGTAAGGACAGGTTTGGTGGTATGGGTAGGATTAAAGGTGTAAGGGAAGGCGCAACAGCTTAATTACATAAATGAATTCACGTGCAGGTATTTAAGATAATATAAGAATAATGTATAACATACTGTATAAGAATAACTGTTTGGGGTTAGTGTTGACCCTTGTACATAAGAAGTGTGTAAATTAAATATATAGCGTGAGACTAATCATTTGAGCGCATGCAACAATTTGTGCTATTGTTTTTGTGCTCAAAACTGTATAGCAATTATTGCAAGAATCCAAAGAACAATTCATTGTAAAATAGAAAAATGCATTTTCTATTTTGAATAGAATGTTTCAAATATTTGATAAATATCTATAGCAGTAAACCCCAGTTTAAAACAAATTAAATGAAAACATGACATATGTAAAACAACTAAATTAGAGTTAAAAACCAATTGGGACATTAATTGCGCTTACCTTAAATTTCTGACCCTACGGCTCAAGCAATATTCTCTGTCACAGACCCTTACAAAAGTGTGCAGACCTTTATAAAGTCTGTGTACACCTGCAGCTATCAGACACACCTCTACACACACACATACAGAGTTAAAAAAAGCAGATTATCATGTAAAATCTTGTAGGCACATACCGTGACCCCTAAAAGTAATCGGAAAAGGTACTTCATTTAGTATAATATCATAATATCCAAATATCATTGCATTAGAAAACCAAATATTGTTGAAAAATGACCAAAAAAAAGGTGAAGTTAATAGTTAAAAAACTTTATTTTCGAAGTATCCATATAAACTTTTTATAAATATCTGGGGTCGTTTTACATACATGTTTAGATATGACTTTGAATACTTTGAAGTATTCAAATGTATCCATATCTCCCTTTTTTCTTTTTCTAAATCACACACAAACACATCCAAGACGATGTGTTCTTTGACTCACCCATAATATTGATGCAGTAAACAGTATGTCTTGATAACTGTGCACTGGTTAAAAAAAAATCCAGTGTGTGTGTTCTCTGTATCTTATCATACTTATAGAGCCAGTGTCACCTACACACACTCTAGTGACACTAGTTTCCTCTCACCTTCAACATGTCTGCGAACAGTGCACCGCCTGAGGAAGATTCCCCTCTGCTTCATTTCTTGTCCCATATTTTGGTCCATGAAGGCTCACAGGGTCAAGACTCAGGTCATAGCGTCCATTATGAACTGGGCAGGCCTGCGTGAAACCAAATGAGAATGTTGTAAGCGTCAAATACAGTTCTGCTTTGGCAAATATATATATATTTTTTACAATACTATTAGTTTAACATTAATATTCACATTTGTACTGTATGTTTTGCCTGAGTAATCAAACATTATACTCACTTTAATGAGTTGTTTTGAAAAGTGGAAATTGGTAATTATTAAGAATGAGCAGGTATATCATCACTTTTGTATATTTTACTCATGAATTTTGTATTGTTTTTGAGTTTGGGTAATTTTGATTTATATCAGGCTTTATTAAAACATCTTTCTGTTAATCAAAGCACAATCACTTTCTTTATTAGATTCATCTTGGTTCCACTATCACTCTCAAAAATAATAATTTCATTTCTGACCTAGAAACTCTATCCATGCCCAATTGAAAATATTTGTGAAATAATTAAACAGCATCGCAATTCAACTAGAGATGAAGCGGGTGATCAAGTCTTTGCAGAATGCATTTGGAGAAATGCATTTTATGACTGGAAATGTAATGCTCCTTGAAATACATTTTGTAATATATTCTTGCAATGAAATATTTACATTTAATATATATATATACATTTCTTGTGCTGTTTAGAATTTACAGTATATTTACCAAGGCTACATTGATTCTAAAAATGATTATAATTTAAAATAACTGTAAATATATTTTAAAATGTAATTTATTCCTCTGATGAAAAGCTGAATTTGCAGTATCATTCATTACCCCAGTCTTCAGGATCACATGATCCTTCCGAAATCATTCTGAACTGCTGATTTGCTGCTCAAACATTGACCTAGGAAAGTATATTAGGTGTGTTTATACGTGTATTAGGTATATTATACGTATATTCACGTAACCCCTGACTTGGGGTCATATAGGTCACCAACTAAATACACTGCCCGGCCACAAAAAACGTCACTGTTTGGATTAAAACAGGCAAATGAGTCTATAAAACAGGCAAATGAGTCTATGAGTAAATGTAGTGGATCAACATAAGATTCAATTCGTATTTGGTGTATATCTACCAGGCTTTGGGTATATCTAGCAGGCAATCGTTTTGGCTGACTAAAAGTTTCCAAACTACGTTTTTTTCAATGTAAACCTTATTCTAGAGTGTTGTTGTAGTTTTGACCTGCTTGTCTTATTTCATTTTTGTACCAAATAATTGTAGAATTGTATTATTGTTCATTAAAACTTAAATTAAGCATTATTTTTTATCAAGGGACTGCTGAGGAAACGGGCGGCCAACGAAAGCCTTTTCACTTGGAGGCGCAACTCATCCAAAAGTGGATGGGAGTGAGTATTGATTTTAAGTGCTTGTATCATTCCCTTTATGTCTGAAGGCTTGGAGCTACAATTCAGACAGTCTTCATCCATAAAAATGAATACGTTATTGAAGTGGCATCATATCAATCTTTATGGTTTTATTTTGCCTAGGCATCTGGTTTGGCCAGAACTGCCCAACAGGCCAAGAACAAATGGAAATGGAGATTACCTTGTATTCATCTTTCAAGTTGTTCCATTCTTGGCCTGTTTCTCTGCTTTCTGTCAAAATTTGTGTAAAGATTAGCCAGTCATATAAGAAACCTAACATGGATGCATAAGGCCCTTATTTGATCTTGCATAGTTTACTCTGAGACTGTAAAATGACCAAAATGAAAATTCTGTCATTTACTCACCCTCAAGTTGTTCCACAACTATATGTTTTGCTCTAAACAAAGGATTATATTTTGAAGAATATTTGTAACCTAACAGTTCTGGGGCACCACTGATTTCCATAATTTGTTAGTACCTCAAAACGGTTTGGTTACAAATATTCTACAAAATATCTTCCCCCAAGTAGTCATGTTCACTCAGACACATCCACTGCTGCATTCTCGTCATCCTCGCTTGTCCATGGCTTTCCTCTTCCTCATCCAGTTGATCGGCTCCCATCACGTCAATGTTGTGGAGAATGCAACAGGCATACGCTAGTAATGGGGGCATTTACTAAGTAAAAAGAAATCGCTAGTTAATACCACTAACAATGCTCAAAATAGCCACACACTAGCACAGTAACATAATGAGGGTCCATACATGCAAACCGAAGCATTGAGAACTTTGTAAGAGTACAGACAATAATCGTTTAACCCCTTAACTGTCACCGTCCCGGTACCGGGACGCCTAACTTTACTTCACTATATTTCTATTAAATCCTAATCTAATTATGACAAATTATATATTGTTGAAAAGGTCTAAGACTTCTAAATAGATATTCTACCCCTGTTTTGTGTTAAAAATTATGTAGGAAGAGTAATTGATGAATTTATGACAAGAGTGCACATCAAAAAATCTGCATCATAACAGGAGTTTTGACCTTTGTCACAAAAAGTCGATGAACCCACTTTTAATCATTTGAAACTTCTGTTTTTATGCTAAAAGTTCATAATAAACATATAATCTAGTATTTTTCAATAAAAAATAAAAAATTATAGTACAATATTATCCTCTAAAAATTATAATATTTATATTTATTATCCTCTAAAATATAATATTTTTTATCGCCTTTTTCTATTATAGCACATATTTTAGTAGTTATCATAAATTAGGTATCATTTGAAAGCTTATAAACTCAGAATTCATCGTGTGAAAACTGTTTTATAATTGAAAGTTGGGTTACCATAGAAACGGTACTTTTTTTATCAGGCTCCTCCCATTTTGGGCATCATTATATTTCATAATTTATGATCAAAATCTTTTCTAATCTTGACAAAACTGATATTGTCAGAAAGGTCAGAGTCTCAAGGTTCCACATTTTGTGACAGAATTGATATTTGGACAGAAATGTATTAATTTGTTAAGGCAGAATGTATACATCTGAATTCAATGGAATTCAATGGCACCCGGTGGCTATTTTTGGTACTACGCCTAAACAAAATCTCATGGGAACTACAATTTTTGTGATATCAACTTCAAATTTGGAACATAACTTGATTAGATGTATGAAATTTTAGAATAAAAATATTTTATAAAATATATATTTTATATAAAATAAAAAATATATAGTACAGTATATTTAATTTACTGTAAATTTAAACTTCCATAACTTTTTCATACTTTCATTTTTTTTGAAGTGTTTTCACTTCAGCAATATTCTGCTGAGTGTTTTCTTTAAAACAAGACCAAACTTGGGTATATATTCCAAAGCATTCTTAAATTACAACCATTTAAGTTTGAATAGTGCATTTTAACCCCCATTCTCAAAAAGGGGGGTGACAGCTAAGGGGTTAATAAGAAGATACTTTATGAAGACAGTTCACTTCGTGTATACAGGCGGCGCCATCTTTGGAAAACAGTCTCGACAAGTCAAACCACGAACGACGTGCTGAGTGATCTGAACTGTATGAAGTTCAGCGAACTTCTGAAATGTATGAACGGCGTTCGGGGATCGACTTATCGAGACTATTTTCTAAGATGTCTCCTGTCTGTATACACAAAGTGAACTGTCAAAGTGAACAAAGTTCTCAACGCTTCGTTTTGCATGCAGGGATCCTCATTATGTTACTGTAATGAGTCTATTAGACCAAAGGTTCATTTTACACCAGAGTTCTCCTTTAATTGCAAAGTCATGAAAGTGCTCTCTCTGTGTGTATGTGTATGTACGTGTCTGACCAAAAAAAAAAAAAAAAAAGGAGTGTTCTTACTTGCGACAGGCTGGCAGCATCATGATTGCAATGCCTGCTGGTACCCTGGTGATCTGTGCAGATGTACAGAGCCTGGATTGCCAACGTACACATCTATAAATGTGACCTTGGCATCACAGGTGGCCTGTGGAATGATGAAAGGGAAAATATTCCTGTTTACGTATAAAAAAAAAAATGTGGCTCTGCAGGAGGAACAACATGTCCTCTGCTTTTGGAAAATGACTTTGTGAACGGTCATCATCTTCTCCATAACGTTCTGAACAGTCTTACAAACCATTGCAAGTGGCATGCTGAAGTTGTCTGAAGGACGCTCCACAGGCAAGCCCGTAAACTGTAACCAGCACTTCTGTGGGCTTTTTGACAGGCCAGCATCTGGACCAGGATGCTCTCTGTTCCTGGAGAGCCTGAAAGCTGGTTTTAAATCCTCTCTAGAAAAATAAATACTAACAAACTGCTAACGTGTAAAAAAAACAGCTGCTCATTAATACATATCTTGTTCTTGTTATAGACTAGAATAAGTTGGTACTTAGTGACGTCACCATTATTATTAAGAAATGATGTCCCTCCAGCCTCATAGTAAAAGAATGTGAAGCAGAATCTGAAAGAAGAGAGAAAATACCTCATTAAATATCTATG